AAGCAACACAAAAAAAACTGAATGTGGAAGATTGAATTGAGAAAAGGGGAATGAAAAGAGAAGAGAAAAGTGGGGAGAAAAAGTGAAAATGTGAAGTATGGATTGATGGGGGGATTATGATAATCGGATTTGGGGCTGCATTATGGAGTGACATTTTTGCGGAGGTCACGCGGAGAGATCCTGAAATCTCGACACGTACTCAAGCTGTGGTCGAGATGCAATCAAGCTTTAAAGGGACAAACTTGCTGTAATGGGCGCTGTTGTTTTGAAACAACGCCCTCTTGTGAACTGTGTTTTACTCATCCCAAATAAGTTATACATTGTATATGTTTCCCTTATCCTTACATAAAAGTAAATAAACGCCACATTGTTTGAACTTTGCCGTATCGGAAGATCTTCAGTGTCGCTACAATACATTTTTAAACTTGAAAAGTCCGCGAGTTCACTTATTTTGATGAAATAAAATAGTTGTGCTTTCGTGCATCATAATATGCAGAAAGAAACCCCCTTATTTTAACTTTGTAGCTCATTGCTGTGCGTATAATTGTTGACTGAATGTATATCGAAATCTTTTGCATTGTTCAAAAAGGTTGAAGATGGTGTTGTTGACACTGGTTGCATTGTCTCAAAGGTGCGCACCATTAATTTAAAAGAAACAGTTGGGCCGATTTTTATGCTCTTTTATGCTCTCCGTTAAAAGCCTTTGGAAGTTATGAAGGGTGCTCGATGATTTTGACAACATTTACCACAATTTTTTCGAAGATAATATCGTTTTCTTGAGAAGACCTATAGAGGCATCTTTGCACGAGAGCTACAACATTTGAAGGAAACAATGACATGTTGGGGTTTAGGGATAAAAAAGTATTGGTTTATGTTTTGCAATTTTGGGTTGATATATGCAATAAATATGTGTGCAACAGAAGACGGGCCGCGCAGCATGCACGTGCACACGGAACAGAGATGTCACATTGTACATGCGCTACATTGTCAATTTTTTATAGGAAGATGATGATCACAAAGGATTTCCTTTCTTTCTTTTTCCATCCCCAAAATTGCTCGACTACAAAAGGCCACAATGATGATGGCCTTGCCGGGGTAACCCAGGGCGGATAAGGCGATGTCACGCCGCGAAATGCTCGCGATGGACGGCGCAGTCAGTCGCCACAGACCCGCTGCTTTCATTTCTCCAGTTTTTTTTTTTTTTATCTCACTAGCTATTAACAAATTGATTCTCAAGGCTGGATTAACGGCATATCCGCAGATATTTTGCAGCTGTTACATCCACAAATAGGCTCCTTTAATATTTAATTTGTGAAGTTTCCAGAGCTGTTTTGGGTTGCAAACCTGTAAAAATAAAGTTTCGTCAATCAATTTGGAAAATTATAAGAACATATTATCCAAGAATTTAAACATTTGAAAAAGCACTATTGGCCGAATGTTCACAGTTCATAGGCAAATTAAAAATCATTTGTAATTCTACCAATGGTCACCAATTTGCCAATTTGACAATTAAGTGCGAACATTTAAAACTTAGTGATTATTTCACACATGTTGATCAGTGTTGGCCAATCCGGTACAACAGAGTTCAACTTGCTCAGAATGCGCATGCTCGGTCTTGCTCCGCCCCTTGGTAACAAGGCATGACCCAATCAAAATCGACACGAGAGGAAACGAAAGTGCATTGTACAATATTTCAATAAGTCACGCCCACAAATGAAGACATTAAAACCCCATTTATATATTTACAACATGAAGTCGACATGTGGGCTTTCTAATGTAACTCGATAATTTCGTTCAAAGGACAGCAATCTATTCAGACGCGGGCTGGAATTTTGCTCCGTTTTGGTTTTTTGTTGTTTTGTCCTGCACCTTATAATTTATAAAACTCGGCCTGGACGGACCGACTATTGGAAAATTCAATAGGATTCGTGACTCCGAATTCAGGCGAGCGGGAGAGTTAATAGTTTTCCCCTTTTTAGTTTTTTTTTTTTTCACTGGAAGCTCATTTTACAATTTCCTGCTCCGGCCCTGAAATGCCTTTAGTTTCGCTGATTGTGTGTATTATTATATCACCGCACGATAGTAGAAGAAAGGAGAGAAGAAAAAAAGGTGTGCCGAAGTTGGCAATTTAGAGCCCTCGATTTTGATGACTAGGGCCCCACGGGGATCCCGAGACAGACGTGTATATATACCGGGTCGCTGGGCTTTCAGCTCTGCCGTTCAAAGCAGCTTTTTCCCGGGGGGTTCTTCCCCTTTCTCTCGCTGGAATTCCCATTGTCCGTTGTTGCACCGGGCGCGTTTCGCATTCACCCTTCTGGCAAACGCTCCTTTTACTTCCAAATAATTCTACTTCAAATAAAAAGGGGGGGGGGGGGAAGGCAGCTTGTATATTCTAGGGTATTCACTGTTAAATAAAACCCTTTCTAGTTCTTCTTCTGAAATTGGAAGCTAAGGTGCAACTTTGGAAATGAAAAAAAAAAAAATCAGAAAAAAATATACTCCCCCGCGAGAGGTCTTTTGCGCCGCCGCGGATCAATAAAAGCACCTATAATGACCAGCCGAGTGTTTGCACTGGGCATTGATTGAATGCATAAAAGCCACCCCCTAAAAAGTCCTCTGCACTTCTTAAGACCCTTATAGCTCCTGGGCTTAAAAACTTAAGACTTTAAGCCCCGCAGTTCGGTATTTAAAAAAAAAAGGAAGAAATAAAGTTGGGCCACGCGCACCTTACACCAGTCGGCCCACGATCGATCGGCGCTGTTGTATTTTGAACTCCCCAATCGAATTTTTTCACTGTTTTATTTTAAACTCGGATGGGGTTTAACGCAAGGTGTTTTCGGGGCACGCCCGTAGGGGGTGAGTTGCGAGGGACCGACGGGGCAGAAAGGCCCCTCGCACGGCCTGGCTCGGTGACTGATCCCGGTGAGGGGTCGTAGTTTTTTCCCCCAGGTTGAACGACCTATCTCAATGTCATTTCATTATTGGAAAAAAAAACGTTAATTGCTGAAATTCTTGCACAAATGTTGAACGTGTTATTATGCAATTGCGCAACAGTGACACGCAACAGGGGATCCCATTAAAGGGGCGTGGCCATTTCTTTTTAGGAAGGGGCAACTGAAGTTGCAGTATCGCCTTAAAGGACATTGGATTCAACTTTTTAAATCGTACATTTTGTTTCCTTGAGCGAACTTCTTCAAACCATCTACATGCATGCCACATGTGCCTCATTTAAATGTTTCGATCCCCCAGGGCTCCGGATTCGGCAGTTCACCAAATTAAATTCCGATCATTTATTACAACCCTTTTGTCAACAGAGGTTGAAAAAGGGATTCCGTCTCTTCCAATTTTGAGAAACAGGACGGATTATTAATCTGGATGAAATCATTTTGATTCATTGAATTTACCTTACAATTGATATCGCATGAATTGATACATTGCAGTTATACCAAAATACAAATACAAAGTAGAAACACTGAAGACCTCGTTATACTAATGAGACTAAAAATAATGTCGGGGTTAGATTTACACGATGCGGTGTCTACACTAAATCACTCGTCCAGTTATAATTTTGACACATTGTTAATTAAATGCACACCGCACTTTTGTATATTATGCATGTCGTTTGCCATATCACAAGTCAAATGTCTCATATGCATTATGATCATTATTTTGTATTTGTCCCCAAAGTAATGTACCGAATTATAATCAAAAAAGCTTACTTGGATTAAAGATCGTACTGGTACTAAACACAATGCGAAATTATTCCGTCTGTCTTGCATGTCATTAAGAAGAAATCAAGAAACGTAGGGGATTTCCAACGATCAGTCAATTGACTGATTTTGGGGAATAGAGAGAGCTATGGACGAAATCGTATTTCGTGATCTAAAGGTTGTGCATGGTTTTCACTGTTTTCTCAAAAAGTGTAATGTCCACTGAGCTGAAAGTTCAACAGGTTAGGTTTTGAACATTCGTCGTTGTATTTTGAGTGGTGTTGTTATTGGAAACATACAAAATGCATGAAAAGCAATCAACATATGCCTTTAATTTCCAGCTGCGGGAAGCGATCTCAAACATTCGCGAAGTTTCCCTCTCGAAACAGAAACAAACCGATCCATAGCGACCCTTCGGCCTTGAAGGATCGTCCGCAACTCCCCTTTTGTCGAAGTCCAAATTTCGCCTCGGGGAATACCAGTCTTTTTGGAACTGGTATCTAAGCCGCTCACAAATAACACCTCATGAATGTACTTTACGTCAATGATTGGTATAATCCCGTGGATCGATGTTGAAAATGTTAGTCATGTTGTGACGCAACCAACTTTTTCCTCCCTTCGAAATGTCGGAGCTAATCGAAATGCTCTGATTGTTGTAGCGTTTGGCGTGGGAGGAAACGAAAGGGTAGTAGCTGAAAAACCAGTCGAAAGTTGAAAAGGAAAGTGCACAAAGTCTGCGGTATTTGGGATACAAGACCAAGTAGAAAAGAAAATGAAAAAGAAAACAGGACAAGAAAAAAATCTGAACGAAAACAGTGGCTTTTCCAAAACTATTTGCGGTAAAGCGTAAAAGAGGTCAGCAACTTTGAAGGTGTATGATGCATGCAGTTGACAGTTTTTTTTTGTGGAAAATGAAATCATAGTGGATGTATCCTGAAGATGATTCAAGCATTCCGTCCGAAACGTCTGCTGATTTTTTTCGCGCCGTTTACGTTTCACATGCCCCTCATTCCTTGATGGAATCGTGAAAAAGACCGTGCTCTGATTGATCGAAAGGTCTGTAAATACCCAGATGTAAGACCCGAGAGACGGATCTTATTGGTACAATTTTTTGCTCATGCGCTGTACGTTGAGCAAAGTTGACAATAATTAGGGGCGTGTCTCTGTAATCAATCGTATTTTAATGGAAGAAAAGGCTGTTGTTGATTCGAAGGCCAAAGTGAACTTGTGAACATTATGAAAAGATTATTTTTTAAATCACTGTTATTTTGCTCTCTTCCTTTTTTCCAGAATCGGCCAAATCGACCCAGTCGTTGGGAGAGGGCCCCCTCCCAAGCCTCTTCAACCCCGCCCCTGCCCCGGTCGACGCCATGATGGACGGGTACCAAGACTGCTTGGAGGAAACCATCCGCTATCTGGTGCAGGTGGAAGGGTTCCCGCCTAACCACGACATCATCATCCGCCTGAGGGCGCACTTGATCCAATCCCAGAGCAAACTGGATTTGAACAACCAGTTGCGGAGCACGGGTCAGGCCAGGTTGACCCTCGACCAGTATTACGACCTGCAACAGCGCCACCACCGGGTGGGACTTGGACAGTTTGCCACGCATGCGCATAGAAGTGGTGTCATGGGTTCGTCCACCCAGACCTCTCCACAACTTGCCCACACTAATGCCTGTGCCGCGTACCCGCCAGGGTCGGCCATGTTGGCTCGGCACGGGACCTCCACCCTGGATGCCCTACACCCAAAGACTCTCCCCACCCAGGGGGGCTTGTCACACCTCCCCCTCGGGGTCATGACGCCCCTCACGGTGGACACCAATCAGTATTACGCCATGCCGTCTCCGCTGGCCCACTGCTTGTCGGAGGGCGCCCTCGAGCGGCAGGGCTCCACCGAGCCCCTGTTGACCATCGCGAGAACTCTGCCCACCAACACGGTCACGTGCAGCAACAGCAGCAGCACCACTCTGGGGCGGACTGCGGTAGCACGGAGTGTGGTGGTGAACCCCAGGACAGTGCAGCTCCCGAGCAGTGTGCAGAGTGCAGCGCCCTCTGTCGCCAGCAATGTGTCAGGGTCACACCTAGGGTTCAACTTGAACTACGACGCACCCTATCTCGTTGCCTTTGTCAGACCTGCAGCTCAGTAAAAACAGAAAATTTCGCCAAGAACCTTTTTGTATTCTCCTTACCTCAGAAAGATCAACTTGTGTTATTATGTTTGTCTTACATTAACAGTAATATCAGTTAATTCAACAGTAATTTACTTCTCCAAAAGGGAATTAAATTCATTGTAATTAGAAATAATCCTGATGATTTCTCCAACCAGATGCCTTGACCGTCAGAATAGGGAATATCAACTGGAAAATGGCCATAAACAGTGACTGACGTTTGAAAAAATTGATGTTATTTTGGCCTCGAGTTTAAAATATCAATAACTGTAGAAAATGTACATTTTACATGTATTAAGGATCAACATGGGTTTGATTATGCATGCAGTACCATTTTCGGTTCTTTTTTTAATCTTGGTTACATTTTAATTCATTCCAAAACACTCGTAATAGCGCCCTCTCGTGGTGGTGCATAAGAGTTCCAATCTCACGAAACAGCACCAGACTAATATTTGGGCTCCTACTCTGGCTAATCAGGTCTTGTTCCTTTTTTTGTGTATCCCTATATCATATCAAGCACTTCTGTGAATGAACTGAAGCCAGAGCAAACATTCGTAGTTGTTTGAATGATTTCAAACGTTTTGGATTCCCTATCCAGATTTAAAACCAATCTAAGGCATTAATTTTTGCAGATTTCTCCGTGATTTCTGGGCATATTATTGTTCAAGTCAGGTTTTTCGTGAAATCAACTTTACGTTTCTAGTATTCCAAACATTCCCAAAACGTCCTGTTAGTTTTGCTCAAATGTTTTACAGGTATTGTGCATGTAATTATGTAAACAAAAAATCCGTTCAATTAAAACTGTTTATGACTCATTTACAAGATCGATCTCATAATGTTTTATAGTTGTACATTTCTTTTGCACACTATACAGAATAAACACAGCAATGTTCATTTTTTTCTTGTATGATTCGCATGTTGTCATGTTCTTTGCATTTTGTGTATGACAATTTTATACAACACCGCGCGCGAGGCATCCTCCAATCAGAGCCGTTCTTGAGAAACGACACGAAGGTTGTTGATTGGTCGATAGTTGTCAGCTACCGAGTCACTGCAAACTACGCCCCCTGATTGGTCAGAATGTGAAGGTCAGGAAAAGGGGGCGTATTCATTATTCGCCAAATCTGCACTAGTTGCACCAAAGATGCTTTGCACTGTTACCGCTAGCTATTGTCCAAATATTACTGAACACTCAAGACACTGGGGGGGGGGGGGGGGGGGGGGTAGATTTAATGGTCTGAGTGAGCACTTGGATGAAGAAGAAATTTAAGTTTTAGAGATGAGTATGGGGAGACAACCTTGTTACGTGCAATTATAAGCTAAACCTACGAAGTCGTGAAGGGAGTGAAACACAGTCCGTCATGCTAGCCCAGGCAGGCCTTCATGCAGCCCGGTCCAGGAAGCTAAGGCGAGGAACGTACCGCTAGGCCACCCTGTCCCGTCGGTGTGAACTTGAGGTTTGTGTTGCAAGTCCCTGTCATCCACAGCCCCTCCCCTTAATAATACCCTCTCCCCGCCCTCTTCCCTCTCCGAAACCGCAATTCAGACTGCTATATGCCTCTATTCATTTCCAAATTTCCCAGGAAGTAGAAAACGCACAGAAGTCGGCTGTGCGCTGCGACCAGGCTCACGAACAAGCCCATCGATTGCGCACCACTGATCAACCGACAAAAAAGACCTTGGATATGGATCGACGGTTCTGCAGCGGTGACGGTTGAAGTGTTGAGAGTAAAATAGCAACACGAGATTGCACATGACCCATTTTTACAGATGTTATGCAGAAAGTATTGCTGTTACATGAACAGCGCAGAAAACCAGTAACAAGCAAGAAATTCGGGCATGTGACATGTTTTTGCCAAGATCAGTTTCGTCAGGGTCGTACAGAGCTTCTTACAAGGTTATTTTGTTATGAAATAGACCCTGTTCTGAGTTTACCTGAACACTTGATCTCAACAAACAAGTGTTTTAACAAACAAGTGTTAATAATGAAATTAGGTTAAAAATAAGTTTAAAAAGTCAAGACAATATGCAAATTAACTTTCGGCAGACAAAACACGCTTCGCCGTCGTGCCTCAAAACTCGCGTGCCTAACGGTGTGGGTGAATGGCGCCCTCTTTGGGTGTAACCGAAAGGTCAATGCGCCCCCTTTTGATGTACCCGAGTGTCAAAAGTCTCGACAAATCTCGCGTTACAGTGCGAGATCGCCATGGTGATAAACAACATGGCGGATAACGAGGTAGGTTTGGATAATTTTGTTCTCAAGTAAACTCCGACGATTTTTCTCTTTCAAGCCGAACAAAAGTAGATAATAACAGTCTGATGGCATTTTGCGTGTTAGAAATATTTGCAGACTGAAAATATAGAGGTCTGAGCAAAAAGAAAGTGAAATAAATCCGATTTCTCGGAGTGCTCGCTTTATTTTTGAGAGTTTGCTTGGACCTTGGTTTGTTTTGACATTTCGATGGCACAACTTACGTGTCACTTTTGACTTTAAAAAGGTGCAAATTACTATCAAACGTTTTCAAATGACGAACAAGTCATCCTGTATAATAAATAAAGAGAGTGTATATCATGTTAGCCGGCTAGATTAGTCGGCTTTCTTTCAGTAGGAGTAGGGGCCTAAATGATCGCCCTCTTTTGACATGTAGGCCTAGGGCTAGGCTAGCTCTACTGAGTGGAGCGTTGAATTACAGGTACCCCTCCATACAAACGCTCCACTGATTTGCCAAACTTTGGTGACGGCTACTCCTAGAACTATGAGGCTCCACGTAGTGGAGCCTCATAGGTTCAGAAGCCCGCAAAATTGTTGTCAGCACAAAACACTAATTAAGTACAAAAACGTCCATCCCAAGCAGGCCGTTTTCCACAGAACCGCTGCACAGTTTGCCCCTAAACTCCATACAATACCTCATGACATACTCACGTTATGTGCACCCAACAAACATCGGTGGATTCTGTCTGTTTTTCGGCAAAAATGATGAAAAATATGCCCTTTCTGCACTGAGCCAACCTAACACTTGAAACGAGCACGCGTGCAGAATGATCGCAGTTATTTTCGGTTCGATCGCTCGGAGCGCGCCGCGGGGGGTATGGTGTAGGAGCGGAACGATAGTATGCACATGCGTACAAGTGCAAGTACGTACCCCCCGCGGCGCGCTCCGAGCGATCGAACCGAAAATAACTGCGATCATTCTGCACGCGTGCTCGTTTCAAGTGTTAGGTTGGCTCAGTGCAGAAAGGGCATATTTTTCATCATTTTTGCCGAAAAACAGACAGAATCCACCGATGTTTGTTGGGTGCACATAACGTGAGTATGTCATGAGGTATTGTATGGAGTTTAGGGGCAAACTGTGCAGCGGTTCTGTGGAAAACGGCCTGCTTGGGATGGACGTTTTTGTACTTAATTAGTGTTTTGTGCTGACAACAATTTTGCGGGCTTCTGAACCTATGAGGCTCCACTACGTGGAGCCTCATAGTTCTAGGAGTAGGTGACGGCGTCACAGTAGCATAGTGTACATACCCACGCGAGGACAAAAAGACCCCCAAAAAAACGGTAAAGAGAATACAAATGAGAGAGACAGTTACCCTGGATTGATCTACACATTCATGACATTCCATCAGACCCCTTATATTGTTCCCAAACAGCGAAAATTTTGGAAAAAAACAGCAAAATAGTCTGAAAACTTACAGCTCAATGTGTTTGCTGTGAGGCTCAGTCCTTGCCCCGACTTGCCGAATGAGGGCGTCTGACGTGATGTCACCGTCATTGCTCGATCGAAGAAAAACAAGTCGCACTTTATTAACGACTGTTTTGTGTCATTCAATGATACGTGCTCCGATCCGCGCCGTACGACAGTATGGGCTTTGAACACACCCAACACTGCCCAAGGAGCACATATCATTACACGAAACAGTCGTTGATAAAGCGTGACTTGTTTTTCTTCATCGAGCAAAAGATCAATCCAGGGTAATCTGTCTCTCTCATTTGTATTCTCTCTACCGGTTTTTTGGGGTCTTTTTGTCCTCGCGTGGGTATGTACACTATGCTACTATGACGCCGTCACCAAAGTATGGCAAATCGGTGGAGCGTTTGTATGGAGGGGTACCCGTAATTCAACGCTCCACTCAGTAGAGCTAGGGCTAGGCCTACATTATAAAAGGTAGCCTAGTATTATTGTATTAAATTACCACCGTCGTTTTCGCAAGACCTGTTGCCAAGTGGATAGTGCAAGTAAGTATCTTAAGAGTGATATGATTCTTTACTTTTTTTGGTCATGTTGGTAGGCTTAAATCTTGGCCAGCCATCACAACTAGTCAATCGAGTGGATTATAGGTTTCAGCTTGAGAGTTTTTTTGCGCATGCTCGCTGAAAGTGAAAGGAGGCCTTCATTTTCACACGGTTATTTTCAATGACTAACCCTCACGACAACATTGTTCCCCACTTTAGGAAGATGCAAATTTTGAAGCGGCAACGCCCAGTGTCACCATAGACCTGGCCGAAACCCGACCCAACACCATGGCCGCCTTCCAGTCTGTCACCCCCGGCGGGGGGATGCTGAATGCTGCGGCCCCTGCCGCGGAGGAGAATAACCTGGACAAGCGGATAATTAGCGTGGCAAGTTTGAGTGAGTTGGAAGCGGCCGAATCGTTGACGGAACTACTGCAGCCGATGGACGCGGACCCCTTTGACGAGGATCAGGTAATGTTTAACCCGCCTGTTATCTAAACAGTCACAGTCCAAATCTCCATGGACTTCCCCTGCTATACTTTTAAGACAGGCTAGACACAAACAGTCAGATCATATGTCAAGCAAGCACTGTGACTAGTCAAGCTCCGTCGACGGACCATGAACAGAAAAAGCGGGCAAGTCGTTGGCACAGCTTGCATGTCAATCAAAGAATTTTGTGAAAGTAACAAAAATCAACATTCAAACTATTTCAAGTAATCTTTTTGATTTTGCCAAACTGTTCACAGGCCGAGCTGCGTTTCCTGCACTCCAAGCCTACTTGCTTCATCGTCCTGGGCAAGCCCGGCGCCGGCAAGACGGCCCTAGCACGCCGCCTGGCCCAGACCTGGCGCTGCGAGCTGGTCCACGCCACCGACCTCATCTTACAACACATCGACTTGGGTACCGAGACGGGGCACCGGTTGCAGGAGATCCTGCAGCGCGGGGGCGCTGTTCCCGAGGAGATGGTGGCGCGGCTGATCGAGGAGAAGATCAACTCGCCCGAGGTTGCACACCACGGTCAGTCACTGATAATTCTAAGTGTATTGCAGCCTTGTACTTAAGGTAGTTTTGGTGGATTAAAAGTACATTTACAAGTTGAGTCATTAAAGTGAATCAAACATCAGGTTACAAGTAAATCACAAGTCAGTTCTAGCAAGTTCAAAACCTACCAAATAATCAAAAAATTTACTTGGAATAAAGAGCGTACTGGTACTAAACACTCTGTGAAATTATTCCGTCTGGCTTGCTGTCATTTAGAAAAAAAATCAAGAAATGTAGATGATTTCCAACGATCAGTCAATTGACTGATTTCTGGAAATAAAGCGTGCTGTAGACAAAACTTTGTTTAGTGATCAAAAGGTTGTGCATGGTTTTTCACAAATTTCGCGAAAAAGTGTAATATCCACTGAGCTGAAACTTCAACAGGTTAGGTTTTGAATATTCTTCTTCGGATTTTGAGTGGCGTTATTATTGGAAACGAACGAAATACACTAAAAATCAAATGATCCTATATGCCTTTAAATTTGATTGGATTGTTGACAGGTTATGTCTTGGACGGCTTTCCCTCTCTGAGCGAAGACTACATGAAGGTGACGGACCAGCTAGAGCTGGTCAAGAACTGGACCCTCAAACCGGATTTCATCATTAATCTCAGGGTAAGAGAGCAGAAACTAACCCATTTTTGACCAGGATACCAGAGTCGAACCAATCCTAACATTTTTGGAGGGACTACGGTTGACTCAAATAGATTTTTGTTCAGACAAGGGAATTTTATGCATTTTCCATTGACTATACTCGGCCGCGTGGAGCATTGAATACGTGGTTTGTGGGTAATTCTGCAGGTTGTGGGTTCGAGTCCAGCCTGAGGTTGTGGTACGTGTACCCTTGGGCACTGCACTTTGTCACTCATTGCTTCTCTCCACCCAGGAGTAAATGGGTACCTGTGAGGGCAGAGATGGTTATTGTGGTTGATTTTAGCTGCTTTGCCCCGAAATGGCAGCATGGAGCTCTATACTCCCTAGGGAGCTGAGATGGTATTAGGAATGTTTCATTATCCCAATGAGCAGGGAAATAATGATGTAGCGTCTTGAGCACCAATACTGGTAGATTTGTGCACTTTATAACTACAAATTATTATCATTATTGCTAGACTCTGAACAATTACAAAGTCAAGTTTTCAAGCAGTCACTGACCATTTCAATCGGTGAACTTTTTGAGTACCGAAATCAAATTTTCGGAATAATTCTCTCCAATATTGCTCTGGAATGCCAGTCTTAAAATACTTTTTGTTTCCTCTACCCAAATGCATTTGTGCCTCATAAACACAGGTCAGAGCATGAAGACTTTGTCCTAAGCAACTGCAGAATTCTGCAAAATTCCGTCGACAGCCCGCCGAGTTTTCTATGAAGCCTGCCCTAAATTTGAGATTGGACAGAGAATGGAAACTTGGTCATAAGCTACTTTCAGAATTCTGCCGACATCTTCACTCTGCAGACTAAATTATTCAAAATTGCCCCTTAATTTGATTGCCTTAAGAAGACTGAGAGAAAAATGGCTTGTTCTTTTAGTGACTTGAGAGTTTGGCAGAATTCTGCCGACTTCTGCAGACAGTCGTCGGACATGTTGACAGATAGTCTACTGTCTTTATTGAAGCTTGCCGAAAACTTGACTGCCACAGAAACTTGGCTCAGAGAAGACTTAGTGATGACAGAATTTGCAGAATTCGTCGAACAGTCTCCAAACCTTTATAGTGACATTTGCAGCATTATACATTAAAAGTCTACTGTCTTTATTGAAGCTTGCCGAAAACTTGACTGCCACAGAAACTTGGCTCGGAGAAGACTTAGTTTATAGTGATGACAGAATTTGCAGAATCGTCGAACAGTCTCCAAACCTTTATAGTGACATTTGCAGCATTATACATTAAAAGTCTACTGTCTTTATTAAAGCTTGCCAAAAACTTGACTGCCACAGAAACTTGGCTCAGAGTAGACTTAGTTTATAGTGATGACAGAATTTGCAGAATTCGTCGAACTGTCTCCAAACCTTTATAGTGACATTTGTAGCATTTTACATTGAGCCATGTCCCCAAATCTGTCCTCTTCAGATGCCGGACCAAGACTTGAAGAATCGACGCGCTGGCCAGCGAGTGGACCCAGCCAGCAACATCCTGTACACCAGTGAAGTCTGGAACCCAGACAAGCCGGAGCCAAAGCCCAGCCAGGATGGGGAAGGGGAGGAGGAAGAAGAAGAAGAAGAGGAGGAGGAGGCGGAGGAACGCATGGGTGATGAGGAGGTAAGTGTGTCCTTGGGCAAGACACTTTACTGTAATTGCCTCTCCGACACAGGAGTATAGATTATATCTATTATCTGAACTCTCTTGTTATCTGATCAGGGGAGGAGGAGCCAAGGGCAGAGTTTAGTGGCTGCTTATGAATATGCAAAAATGATGTCCATTCGTTGTGATCTGATTCAGGGGGAGGAGGAGCCAAGAGTAGAATTTAGTGGCTGCTTATGAATATGCAAAATGCTGTCCATTCGTTGTGAGCTGATTCAGGGAAGGAGGAGCCAAGAGTAGAATTTAGTGGCTGCTTATAAATATGCAAAAATGATGTACATTCATTTTTATATTGTTATCTGATTCAGGGGAGGAGGAGCCCAGAGAGGAATTGAGCTTTGAGGTCACTGAGCAGCTTCTCATGAATATTCATATTAGCCACATTCACTGAACTCTGTCGTCCAGTTGGTGGAAAAGGAGCCAAGAGATAAAAAATGGAGCTCTTAAGGGCATTGAGCAGCTGCTTATGAATATGGAAATTTGCTTCTTCTTTTTTTAACTTAACTCTTGTGATGTGATTCAGGGGAGGAGAAGCCAAGAGTGGAATTGGGCTTTGAGGTCATTGAGCAGCTGCTCATGAATATGCTAATTTGTTATCCATTCACTTAATACAGGGGGAGGAGGAGCCAAGAGAAGAATTGAGCTTTGAGATCATTGAGCGGCTGGTGCGGAGACCGGAGGACATGCTCTATCACGCCCAAGAGAACATTGTCGCTTACAAGGACAAAATGCTCAGAATGCTTGAGGTAATCAATTTTTGTTTGAAATTTAAAGACCTAAAAATCGATAAACTGAGTAGAAATTCTATAGATGAAATGAATAAATTTATCAATTAAAATAAAAAATAGTGAAAGTAACGTACCCATTTTGTGTGTGAGACTTTTCAAGAGATGCAACACACACCCATACTGAAATTTGTATCCTTGTGGAGACATTTCTTTGTTCTTCTGTACTTAAGTTTTCGAGTTTGAAAGCAGTTTCAAAATGCTCTTATTTTAACCAGAATTAATTTCCTTGGCTGAAATTCGGGCTTAATATCCCTTTTCTAAAACTCTACCATTTGCGACAGATCAACATACCTTGGAAATTCCTAGTTTTTAAGTAAAATCCATATATCTATTTTGTGTAAACCTTGTGGAGACGTATTCATCTATAGAAATTGCTCTGTGGAGGCGTATACAATGTTTTGTTCCCAATTGTGTGCATGTCTCCAGAGGGCACGGTGTATCAGATCAACTCAGCTGAAGTATCTGATATCTGTTTATTGTTGTCGAGTAAATACATAAAACAGTCATCATGTTGTGTACAAAAATACACTTCCCGCACTTAAAGTTAGTCTACGGAAATCAGTCTCGTAGACCATCATGGCTAAGATTGAATGATGTCCAGCGATGCATCCAAATTATCGTAAAATGGATCGTATGTTGTGATGAGTAACCATTTGAGCTAAGAGACGGCACATAAATATTCTTCGTCCTCTTTAGGATTACATCGCAGACCACCCTCAACAATATCTCATTGAAATGGATGCCAACAAGCCAGCTGTAAACCTCTTCAAGGAACTCATGATGAAGCTGAACACTTTCGTCCTGCGCCGCGCCGCGGTCCCGATCCGTCTCCAGAACCAGGACGAGGAGGACATCCCCGAGGACATCGAGACGGAGGAGCTGATGCGGACGCTCGGAGGGACCAACATGGTGGCGCCGCGGTACCGCTGGCGGCGCAGCCGCTGGGCTAGGATGTGCCCCGTGGAGCTGCAGAAGGGCAACGTGGTTCCCGGGAAACCTGAGTTTGCAGTAGGGTGAGGCAGAAGTCAAGTTTAAACTAAGTCACTCTTATTCATAATTGACTGGAGCGGGGTTTGAACCTGCAACCTCCGGATCGCCGTTCCGGTGCTCTTCTAATCAACTATCCAGCCCTGTATTGCGGGACCCCATTTTGTCAACGTCTTTGTTCTTCCTCTTTTTTTTTGCCAAGGTTTCTCGACAAGATCTACGTCATGTCCAGCCCCGAGGCCATGGAGAAGTTCTTGAAGAATCCCCGGCCGTATCTGGTCAGCCCTCAGCCCCGTCCCCCTTGCAAGCTGTGCGTGGTCGGCGCGCCACTATCCGGAAAGACCACCATGTGCCATCTGCTGGCTCACAAGTTTAACGGCAGGGTAGGTACAAAAACAGGTTACCAGCCAAAACATCGTGCAATGTACATTGCTTGTGACTGGTTTTCAGCTGATATTTGCAACATTTGCATGTATTTGCATACAGGTGTTGGAATTGAATGAGCTCATCAAGTCTCGGATGGCGGTGCATAGCAAAATAATTTGCATAGCAAAAACAGGTTACCAGCCAAAATGGCATGCAATGTACATTGCTTGTGACTGGTTCTCAGCTGATATTTGCATACATTTGAATATATTTGCATACAGGTGTTGGATTTGAATGAGTTCATCAAGTCTCGGATGGCGGTGCATAGCAAAAAAATTTGCATAGCAAAAACAGGTTACCAGCCAAAATGTCATGCCATGTACATTGCTAGTCTCAGATGGCGTTGCATAGCAAAATAATTTGCATAGCAAAAGCAGGTTACCAGCCGAAATGTCATGCGATGTACATTGCGTGTGACTGGTTCCACGCTGATATTTGCATACATTTGCATATATTTGCATACAGGTGTTGGATTTGGACGAGCTCATCAAGTCTCGGATGGCGGTGCATAGCAAAATAATTTGCATAGCAAAAACAGGTTACCAGCCAAAATGGCATGCAATGTACATTGCTTGTGACTGGTTCTCAGCTGATATTTGCATACATTTGAATATATTTGCATACAGGTGTTGGATTTGAATGAGTTCATCAAGTCTCGGATGGCGGTGCATAGCAAAAAAATTTGCATAGCAAAAACAGGTTACCAGCCAAAATGTCATGCCATGTACATTGCTAGTGACTGGTTCCCAGCTGATATTCGCATACATTTGCATATATTTGCATACAGGTGTTGGATTTGGACGAGCTCATCAAGTCGCGGATGGCGGTGCACAAGGCCAAGCAGGTGGAGCTGCATAAGCAGGAGGCTTTGGAGTCGGCCATCGCTACGGTCAAGGCCAGACTACGAGAAAAAGAAGAGAGTAAGTCATTAACCCTCCTATTCATAAGGTGGAGTTAGCGTCCGGGTGATGTAAATTCAATATTGGGTTTGCCCTTCACCGACCTGTTATGTAAACACTGTATGGGGTTACACTGATCTGGCACACCGTGCCCTCTGGAGACATGCACACAATAGGGAACAAAAGATTGTATACGTCTCCACAGGGCAATTTCTTTAGATGAATACGTCTCCACAAGGTTTTGCCCTTCACCAACCTGTTATGTAAACACTGTATAGGGTTACACTGATCTGGTACACCGTGCCCTCTGGAGACATGCACACAATAGGGAACAAAAGATTGTATACGTCTCCACAGGGCAATTTCTATAGACGAATACGTCTCCACAAGGTTTTCACGAAATAGATATATGGATATTACTCAAAAACGAGGAATCTCCAAGGTATGTTGATCCGTCGCAAATGGTAGAGTTTTAGAAAAAGGAATATTAAGTCCGAATTTCAGCCAAGGAAATTAATTCTGGTTAAAATAAGAGCATTTTGAAACTGTACTTTCAAACTCGAAAACTTTAGTACACGAGATCAAAGAAATGTCTCCACAAGGATACAAATTTCAGTTTGTATGAGTATACAGTGTTTATATAATACATCGGTGAAGGATAAACTTAATATTGAAACCATCCTATTGTGTGATCATTCACAGACCGTCAAAAATTCTTCCACTTCCTTTGCCATGCATTTGTATACAGACTAGTAAAAAACAGTCCGATCACATTTGTATAGGTCTCGTTCAAATGATTTATTTCCTACGGACCATCCACTTGCATCGGCATTTTGAGCATCAACTTGCGTAACGCGCATCGGCTGTGTCATATTTCGAACACACTTCGAGCCACAAGCGTGGGTTTGGAACATTTTCAACACTGCGCAATGCGTACTTGATTGCGTAAAATACGCAGCTGCAGTTCTTTTACAGAGATGGCCATTATTGAGTGAGTCCTATAACCACTCTGGCTAGTCGAATTCCATCAACAGACAAAAGAGGTAACTGGTAAGTACAGCTGGCATATTCAATCACCTCCTGTCAAAGCATGGCTATATCAAATTAACGAGGAACTGTTAAAAACCAGTCGCTCGATTGATTTTGACTGCTGCGACGAGATACCTTAATTTGCCAGCACCTATGAATTATCGTGTACTTTTTTCTTACCTATGTAGAATTTTGTGGATTTTGTATTTTGCTGTTGACTTTAATTGAAGCCATTTTAAGTTTTTTAGTTATTTTTTATAAAAATTGTCATTGAATATGAAAATCGTTGTTGCTTTTCGTACAAAACTTGAAACAGCTGCGTCAGAGGGCGATGGAGATGACATGGACGAACAAGGTATTGGGTCATGTGACCTCCCGTTTGGCTTATCACTAGCCCAACCCCCACCCCGCTCATTGGTGTAACCCGACCAACTCGATATGTGCACGTTGCTTTGCATTAACCATGCTGACAAACCGCACCCCTGACCCACCCTCAACCCACCCCACCCTCACCCCACTCCACTCCAAACCCAATTTGTCCCCCTCCAATCCCTACCTCTGCCTACCCTTCCCTCCCCCAACCCTACTCTCAATCCCATCCCCACCCAAAATTCAGACCCCAAACCCAACACCACCCTGCCCTCAACCTCACCCCAAAGCCCTATCCCCAACCCTGACCCAACCGCACCAAAACCCCCTACCCCAACCCTGACACAACCCAACTCCATTCCTAATCCCACCCCGAACCCCATGTACACCCCCACCCTAATCACGGATCCTAGACACCAGGATAAACGACTGTTCTGAGCTCTAGTACAAAATGCACTGAGCGGACTTGCCTTAATTGGTTAGACACGTGATAACGAGCATTAATACCCATTGGCGCGTAATCGCGAATTTTCCAGATGTGCCATTGTGTTGGGTTTTTGCACAACATCTAAAACGGAAATATTCATAAAACTGTAAGTAAAACTACTTCTTATTTAAGATATAATTGTTCCAAATTATTTTAAAAATAAATTCTTCAGGATATAACAGATGGTATTGTGCAGTTTTTGTCGTCATAGATGAAGTATTTACCCGGGAAATAAACGTCAAATTTCGAGGAGAACACCGTTTACCCAAATTTCGTTTTTAATTCAGCTTTTATTAAAAAGTTTTAGAGAGAAAGGATGCCGAACCGATGAAACAAAAGCGACATTTCATTGTTCATCTTAAAGCTAAAGATATTGTGCTCGGCATTACCATGGTTATAGTTATCACTTATCAGAATTCAATAATAAAGACCAAAAACGTAGACTCATGAATATTCAAAAATATAATTCGCTGGCTTGACAGACTTCGAGGCCAGATCGGGGGAAGAACCTTGCAAATCTGAAAGCCACCGCGCGCAGTGGTCTTTGTTGAAAAGTATTCATGGTATTTGCCACCAGTACAGGCCGTTATCACGCGTCTAACCAGGAGTTGGGCCGAGTCGTTCATCCTTGTGTGTAGGATCCCTGCCCTAATCTTCCCCACTGCCCACCTCAAACCCTCACCAACCCTCACCCCAAAGTGCAACACCTACCAATCTCACAATTATTGACACAAAGTAAGGTGAACTCACAGTGTAGTGTTATTATTGAGTCTTGTTTTTCCTTCAAGTCTCTAAGTGTACTGAAAACACGTATAATATGGTATATCAGATGGAATGTCTACATTCATTTGTTTATGGTGTAAATTGAGGACACACACGTGCAACATCATCGATGAATCGAGGACAGGAACCAAATCGAGGACGACCTCAATTAGAAAACGTGTACAAAACCAATGAGAGCTGTTGCAAAAAGTTAGAGTATAAACAAAAGAAAAGGGAAGAGGAACAAAAAAATGCTTGATTTACACCATAAACAAACGTATGTGTACTTGATAGACACAGGAGAGGGTTTGGCTGTGACACTGATTTTAACAACAGCACATTTACTTGTAATTTTGTGGGTTTTTAGTTTCTTTTTTTGGTTGTTGCAATCAGCCATTTCATTTGTATACTTCATTGCTTACTCATGTGTATTGAGTTTACCACACTGTGTTTCAATGAACAGTCATGGTTCACAATCATTCGCTCTTTTCACACTTCCGCCATGGGCACGCAGAGCCTCGATCTGGCAACTTTACACAATAAATATAGCCGGTTCAGTGATTCCCGTGTCGGGGTTCAGATCACTGAACCAGCTTTTCTTATTGTGTGAGAAGAGCGAATTGCATCAACCACAAAGCGTAAAACACGTCTCTACTCTCATTATAAATATGTTAGTCCACAGATTTCATCTAGAATTACACCTTTTTTCCTAATTAAAATCAGATTTAGACCTTGTCGCAAGATGTTTATACATCCTTTTCTTACTCATTTATAAAATTTCATTTTGATTTTGTTATCATACGACTCCATGTTTCACCACGAAAAAGGAAATTCCACCACGAAAAAGGAAATTCCACACTGCTTGCATTTCAATTGAAAGTGAAGTTTTGGTCATGATTGGAAATTTTGATGTTTTATCATACAAAAGGACAAAGATGCTTTTGTTACATACATGTATGTTACTTGGTCAGTGAGGTTCTTTTTCGGGGGTTTAATTCTGGTATTGTAGATGTTTTGGCCCATAGTTTTATTTTAAGGAAATAAAGAATTGAACTAACATTAATTAACCCTAACTCCCTAGGCATTTTTGCTAGGATGCAACCTCAATCCTGCAAAATCCTCCAACTGCCTCCTTGTAAAAATAGCATACAGCCTCAATCCTGCAAAATCATCTGTTAGTTCTTGAATGTGGTCCTTAGAGGAGTGACCAATGCCTCAATCCTGCAAAATCCTCCGACAATCACTGTCAGTATGTAATTGAGGCAGAGCCAGTGACATCCTAGAGCATTGCGGAGGATTTCAAGTATAATAGGTCTAAATTTATGCATGGCTGAGCATCAACAACACAAGGTCCGGCCCAAGACCTTGACACAGTGCATCCTCTGAAATCAGCAACACACTTGCCAAGTAGCCTAAACCCCGCAAAATCCTCCATTTTGCAAAGAGGATTGGGGAGGATTGTGGAAGGTTAGGGAAATATGGAAGTTTCATGCCTTACTTTATATTAAAGCACCCTGATTGACAGTGTATGTAAAGTTTGCCTAACTCTTTTATGGCACTCTAGCCCTGACAGACATTAAATACACGATCTGCCTAACTTTCAAGCGATGTTGATCTATCGTAAGATAGGGAATTCATAAGTACAGCACTTCTCTAGATTGTAAAAGGATTGTAAAGGACTTTAAGGATTTGATTAAATGCAGTTTATTACTTATTGCACAAATTTTAAATTGCTAGGTGCTGGGCTAACAAAATTACTAAGTGCACGTTTAACCAACTTTAATTCAGTAATTAATATACCTTTTACATTAATTTGTAATTTCATTTTGAGGTGAATTTCATTTGAGATGAAATAAGCATGCTTTTCATTCAAGCTGATCATGAGCTAAATGCCATACAGCTCAACAAATTGCTCAACAAATTTATTTACTTCATGTTTTGTGAAACACCCCTCTGGCCATGGTTATGGTAGTTGCCTCGCGCGCGTAGTGTTAAACATCTCCATATATGGAGATTGGCATAAGTGATGTGAGGCAGAAAACCACCCACAAGGATGGGCTCTCAACCAATAGAGATGGGTAAACTTCATAAATGTTTAGGAATTGATTTATGAAATCAGTGCTTAAAACAAAATTTTCAATTCAGAAAAATTGGACATTAGAAAGCTTGTATAATTGTTGCAAAAATGATCTGTACATGCTTTGCTTTACTTTTCCATAGTTGATCACGTTTAGGTAATTACAATTTTTAACTCCAAATTCCTCACCCTCCCTACAACTATTTAAAAAAACACCCCTACGCAGAAGAAAAAGAGAAGGCCGACACCGATACAGATGCTGACAGAGCTGAACCAGAATCAGACCAGCCCACTCTCCCAGAGGGGGAGAAGGAGGACGACTCGGGTGAGGGGACAGAAAACGAGCGGGAAGAGGCTGTTGGGGACAGCGAAGGTAGAGAGAAATCCAAATTCATCGGACTCGGATCATCCCTTCCTGGTTTGCCGTGGAAATTCCTTCCTTTTTTCCTCCATTTTCTTTTTCCCTGGTTTGCTGTGAACTTTTTGTTTCTCATGTGTTTGGTCACTCATGTACTCCAACTTCAGTAGCCATTCAATTTCTTGGCTCCGAAGTAGCCACAGCGGACAGGTGACCAGTCTATCAACCGGTATCCATGCATACACACAGGGATTACCATTGGCGTTTTTAGCCGGTTGCCATGATCGCTGCTCTCACTCTTTTCAGTTTTGCTGTGGTTTGCTGTGTTACACCTTCACTATCACCATGACAACATTGCCATCCAAAGATGACCACATGTATGATTTTTATTTTACAGGTGAAGGGCACCATAGCCTACCTCAAAAACAACTTGTAAATGTCTCATAAACATATTTCTTACATTTATTCCCGAATTCTCTTTACTTATGTTTATGTGTGTTTTGATTCTGGTTGTGAAATAACATTTCTTCTTAACTCTTTGTATCCTGTAAATTTCTGTGTTCATTTGGAAGAGTTCAATAATTTTTTTAAAGTGTGACTCCGTTATCTGTGAATAAAATCAAGTTTCTGTGATGATTAATTTCACATTTTAATCCTCACTTTTTCCACGTCACTTTATTTTCTCTAAAGCTGAAATATTTCACTTCTTATCAAAACAAATGTGTATGAACAATCTTAATTCTGTACTTTTTGTTTACAAATATTAATTTAGCATTTCCTTTTTATAAAAATATAGGGATACAATATACATGTATATAAACATTAATTTAATTCAGCTTAAAATGTAATTTTCAAATTAGCATCATTGTCATTGACAAAACTCATTATTCATGAAAGTCACCTCCGAATTTCATTCGTTTCTGAAAATATAATTTTCCTTTTTTTTCTAATTTAGCACTTAATCCTGTTGAAATGCAGGCTTCCTTGTCAATATTTAATGTTCTACTTCAAGAAGTTTCACCACAGTTAACATAAAATGTTCTTCTAACTTTTCACAAACTTTCACAAAGTTGCAGAAATGTATCCCTTTTATGAGTAATTGTGTACAGAATGACAACAGAATTTCTGAAAAGTAAATTACGAAAAGCCTGTCAGAACTACAGTTTTGAGCCATTAATTTGTCTTTTTAGCTAAAAATTGTCAGGATGAAAATAATTCTTTTGAAATGGAATACAGCATTTGGAGCTCACCAAACATTCGTGTACTTTAATAACAGATAAAAGTAGGCAAATCTTTTTTGTTTTGTTTTTACGCAATTATTTAATAGGTGAAACAGATTCAGGAGTGACATGGAGAATCATTGGCACGTATCACTCACCACACTTTTTTATCCATATCAATCATGGACTAAAATTAACTCATTTGCATTTTTCATATCATTTTCATTTCACATTACCAGAGCCATCACAAAGTGAAGCAGATAAGAAAGAAGGTGACGACGGTAAGATAGATTTCATCTCAACTCATTGCATATTAAAAAAAAATAACTGACAGGATTAATTTGCTGTGGTTTTTATTGTGACGAAGTACTGTTTTACACACACACAAAATTGTAAACTCTAAAATTCTTTATTGTACGACTATATGCAGGTAAATGGGACCGTTTACGATGGCCTGCAATGAATATGTCGACTTGCAATTATTTGTGATCACTTTATATCGTTTGTGAGCACTTGTGATGACTTTGGATAACTTATGATGACTTGCAATGTCTTGTGATATCTTTGATAATTTTCAATGACTTTATCATTTGTGATGACTTGTGATCATTTGTGATGACTTGTGATCATCTGCGATGACTTGTGATCATTTGCGATGACTTGTGATCATTTGTGATGACTTGTGATCATTTGCGATGACTTGTAATCATTTGCGATGACTTGGAAGAACATAATATGACTTGTGATGACATGTGATGACTTGTGATCAGTCGCAATCATTGATTACAACTCTTACAATCTTGTCGTAAGGTGATACTTCCACTCTTAAAACCTTAAATGTTGTCAGGAGGTGATACTTGGAAATTCTTTTTATGACTTGCAGTCACTTGTGATAACTTGTGATGTTTTGTGATGACTTGTGATGTTTTGTGATCACTTGTGATTACTTGTGATTACTTGTGATGACATGCGACGTGCATTCACTTGTGATAGTTGCAGTCATTGATTACAACTCTTGCAATCTTGTCATAAGGTGATACTTCCACTCTCAAAGACTCCACCATCGTCTCGGAGCCAGCCCCCTCCCAAGACCCCACCGAGGCCACCACGACAGTCACCGCTCACGCCCCGCCCACCATTGAGGTCGACGAGACACACCCGGAGGTCAAGATCATGGTGGACGCAGCGGTGGAGGAAGCCGAGAAGCAGACGTATCCGCTGGCTCCGGAGCAATACGTGGACGCGCTTGAAGAAGCCGTGACCGAAATACACAAGGAGCTACGCAAGAAAGACCTCAAAGGACCAATGTGAGTATAGAGTAATCCTCCATTACTGAGGAGACGCAACAATCACATGGAGTGCTGTGGCCTCGTGGTTAAGGGCATTGGATTCGTGGTCTGCGGGTAAAGCTGCAGGTTGTGGGTTCGAGTCCAACCTGGGGCTATGGTGCGTGTGCCCTTGAGCAAGGCACTTTGTCACTCATTGCCTCTCTCCACCCAGGAGTAAATGGGTACCTGTGAAGGCAGTGATGGTTATTGTGATTGAATTAGCTTCCTTGCGCCTAACAGGCTGCATCGAGCTGTATACTCCCCAGGGAGCTGAGATGGTATATGGAATGTTTAATTGGCCCAATGATTAGGGGTAATAATAATGTAAAGCGCTTTGATCTTAGTTAAAAGCGCTATATAAGAACCTGTTATTATTATTACTTTTTACAAAGCTTACTTGGATTGAAGATCGTACTGGTGTTAAACACTCTGTGAAATTATTCCGTCTTGCTTGCTGTCGTTTAGAAGAACTCAAGAAATGTCTGTGATTTCCAACGATCAGTCAATTGACTGATTTTTGGAAATAAAGAATGCTATTGACAAAATCGTGTTTCAGATAAAAAGGTTGCGCTTGGCTTTTCACTGTTTTCATGAAAAGTGTAATATCCACTGAGCTGAAACTTCAACAGGTTAGGTTTTCAACAGTTTTCTGTGGATTTTGAGGGGTGTTATTGAAAACAAACAAAACGCTTGAAAACCCATGCACAACCTTTTGATCACGAAACATGATTTTGTAAATATTACTCTTTATTTCCATCGATGATCCTATAAGCACAATCTGTTTGCTTAATACCCCGGGGGAAATAGAAGGTAACATGGATCACCACTGGTCTCTAGTTTTAATATCACATCAGTCTGAGCAGTCAATATTTGTAAACTATTTCCTGCAGGGCTGGCGGTTGGGTACTAGACAACTTCCCCCAGACCAGAGAGCACTGGACTGCCCTGATTGACCTTGTTTCATTTTGGGGAAATAACAGGCTACATGGATCACCACTGGTCTATAGTTTTAATATCACACCAGTCTAAGCAGTCAATATTTGTAAACTATTCCTGCAGGGCTGGTGGTTGGGTGCTAGACAACTTCCCCCAGACCAGAGAGCACTGGACGGCCCTGATTGACCGCGGTCTGGCTCCAGACGAAGTCATCTTCCTGAAAGATCCCAGTGAGAACGGCAACTACCTCTTGAAGAGGTGGTACAAGCTGAACAAGGAGGAGGTGGATCGCAAGATGCAGGAGAGGAAAGACGAGGAGGAGAGAGAGAAGGCGAGAGTCCTTGAAGAAGCAAGGTAAGGAGCTACTATTCCTGTGTCATTTGGTCACATTTTTTGAAACTACTTAAAGAAACTATGAGTACTTCTCAAGACACAGGAGTATGCGTCCAAATGTGATCTTGGATTTTCAACGTTCGGTTTTATTTTTCCTTATCAGGTAATGTGTCATATCATTGTGATAACTTTTTAAGCAATGCAAAATCTATTATAAGATGGAATTTTTGCGTCGAGGTGATATAAATCAAATTAGGTTTTGCCCTTCACCAGGTAACACACTGAGTATACAGTGTTTAAACTTCGGTGAAGGGCAAAACCTAATTTGATCAGTGCAAAATCATTCCTATTTTCAACTTTCATCGATGCAGTTTTTACAAAGTTTTATTGTTTCTTGCATGCCTACCATTTAAAGGAGTACGGATTCGGAGAGGTAGTGTATTTTTTTGTAAAGCTTCGTGTGATGTTAGAAAAAGTGTCCAAAAGTTGTTGTTTAACAGCAGTCCGTGTGATATGTCATTGCCTTTAACGTTATTTGCACTTTTACCACTGGAGGCATAGTTATACACAAACCATATGATCGTACACCAAAAAAATTGCCCCCCCTAAAAAAAAATTCTGTACCTTACTACCCTGTTTATCGATTGCCATATAATCGGAAGCAGAAACTTTTTTTTTGCCTAACTTGACTCCAACTTTGATTCGAGATTTGTGATTTGTGATCGAATTATGATGAAAGGACTTGTAAAGGTTTCACTGCTAACTCAGTCTCATACTTGTATTATTTGCTCTTCTGCATCGTCGATTGACAGGATGCAGACAGAGAGGGAACAGGAGGAGAAGAAACGAGAAGAGGAAGAGGAGAAAAGGAGACTGGCTGCGGAGGCCGGAGAAGGCGCCCAAGAAGGCGAAGAAGGTAACCATCTTATTACAAATGATGTTCCTTAAGACCACCCAACCTGGTTACCAACCAAAATCAAGTAATGTACATTTACTGTTGACTGGTACTCTGCCAATTTCCGCTTAGCACAGAATTCTGCTAAGCAGAGATTTTGCTAAGCAAAAACAGGTTACCAACCAAAATCTCATGTCATGTACATTTACTGTTGACTGGTAATTAATCTGCCAATTTCCGCTAAACACATAATTTGCTAAGCACAGAAGAGATTTTGCCAAGCAAAAACAGGTTACCAACCAAAATCCAATGGCATGCACATTTACTGTTGACTGGTACTCTGCCAATTTTCGCTGAGCACAGAATTCTGCTAACCACAGAAGAGATTTTGCTAAGCAAAAACAGGTTACCAACCAAAATCCAATTTCATGTACATTTACTGCTGGCTGGTACTCTGCCAATTTCTGCTTGGCACAGAATTCTGCTTAGTACAGAAGATATTTTGCTTAGCAAACACCGGTTACCAGCCGAGATCTAATGTCATGTACATTTACTGTTGACTGGTACTCTGCCAATTTCCGCTGAGCACAGAATTTGCTAAGCACAGAAGAGATTTTGCTTAGCAAAAACAGGTTACCAACCAAAAGCCAATGTCATGTACATTAACCGTTGGCTGGTACTCTGCCAATTTTTGCTTAGCACAGAATTTGCTAAGCAGTATTTACTGCGAAGCAGTGCCAGAAAATTAGGATCTGAATAAAAATAATTCAATATTAAAACCTTGGGTCAGTTTTATTGTTTGGCCTTCCATGGAGGCGTGTTCATTTTGATGGCATAGTCATTCGTTTTTAATATAAAAGATTTTGAATTGAATGCCGTTTAAAAAAAAACACGTTTGTTTGAAGTGGCGGTTGCAGCTGCTGGATCTGCATGTGTGCATGCATGAGTGAAACATTGACATCCACGCTTGCATGTGTTTTGGGCATGTTTAAACTGGCAGCAAAGTGGAATTTTCTTAACAGTTTTCCCACTGAAGCAAGTTAACTGTTTGGTCCTGGAATTTTGTCATCAATATTTGCTTTTGTTTTAAAAACATCTAAATATTCCTTCCTTTTTTATTGAGACTTTTTTGCAATGGATAAAATGATTCTAATATGACCATTCAGGTTTCAAATTTTAATACATTTGTGAACACACATACTGAAATTTGATATTTGAAATTGAGCATGCTTAGGATTAGTGGACTTGTCCATCCCACCCATCTTTGGTTAATTACCATTTAAAGACCAGTCACTCTAATGTGGCAAAACAGTGACTAATTTGGAAGAGTATATATATTAGAAACAACCTACAACATCGAAAATGAAATAAGACGAGTTTCGGCCGTAAAAATGAAAAGTTGACAAACTGCTCCGTCCCCTCTGCTAAAAGCCAGAATGCTCAGAATAGCAAATCGCATCAATGAGGGCAGCAAACACAAAAGCCTGTTTGCCTACATATACGTCATAGTACTCGTACCAAAAAATTAAAGCTGCCTGCCCTTATTTAAATTAGTTAATGTTTGCCACATTAAAGTGACGGATTTTTAACTCCCACCTAACATCAACCACTGACCCCTCAGAGGGTGAGACTAAACAGGAGGAGGAGGAGGAAAAAGAAGGCGAGGACAAAGAGGACGGGGAGGCGGAGAAGGCCGAGGAACCCCCAGAGGAGGCGGAGCCTGATGCGGGGGAGGCGACGGACGACGGAGGTAGACTCTCCTCATCATCTCATCTGTGTGAATGCACTTGTTTGCCCTGTGCTCATGTGTCTCTAGTGTCAGCACTTTTTCCTCTTTTTCTTTTGCCCAAGTGTAAAATCCAAATGCTGTCTGCTTCAAGATCGTACAAAAAATGCATAGACTAGGGAGCTTTGCACAATGCTTTGCTCACTCTGTGTTAGTAGAGAACCTCTAGTTACTGCTCTTTTATGTCTTTTTCCCTCTGCACGATGATCTGTCAAGTGGCTGTCTGCTACAAGGTTGAACAAAAAATGCTTAGACTAGGGAGCTTTGCACAATGCTTTGCTCACTCTGTGTTAGTCGAGTGCCTCTAGTTACTGCTCTTTTATGTCTTTTTTCCTCTGCACGATGATCTGTCAAGTGGTTGTCTGCATCAAGATGGAACAAAAAATGCTTAGACTAGGGAGCTTTGCACAATGCTTTGCTCACTCTGTGTTAGTGGAGTACCTTAAGTTACTGCTCTTTTATGTCTTTTTCCTCTGCACGATGATCTGTCAAGTGGCTGTCTGCTACAAGAATGTACCAAAAATACTTAGACTAGGGAGCTTTGCACAATGCTTTGCTCACTCTGTGTTAGTAGAGTACCTCTAGTTCCTGCCTTTTTATCTTTCCCTCTGCACGATGATCTGTCAAGTGGCTGTCTTTGTAATCGATGAAAGCGTTGACTCTTAAAAACCAAATATACAGTACACCATTTTATCTCTGAAAAGGGTGTTAAGACCAGTTTATTCTCTGTGCAAAAGCGAACATTACCGCAAATTTGTAAGCTGACTGCAAGGTTTTATGCTGCAAATTCTGAAAACTTTGAACACATTTCAACTCCGGTGATTTCGCAGCGAACGTTTTGTGACGTCAAGTTTGTGTCGCTTTCGCATTTGCTTGAAGAATGAACCGGCCTTTATTTAAACTGAAAGAACCATGCTTATTCCCTTTCCCGTGCCCCCCACATCAGCTACGCTAGCCACGCCCACCATTACTGAGCCTAGTACGGCAATCTCTGGCATGGATGTCGATGCTAAGACATCAGGTATGAAACGCTCGTTGCTTGCTGCATGAAACACGTCTTGGTTTGCTGTGGATTGTCCCAAAATTTTTTTATTTTTTTTAATTACATGCTGTTGTCACTCTTGCAATTGAGTCATCCATTTTTAGTTCTTTCGTTTCTTGGTTTGCCTAGGATTTTCAAACAGAGAAAAAAAATAGAAAATGCTGCTTTCTATTTCTCAAGTCATGAATTTTTGGTGTGTGTTTGAAACATATTTTTGTTTAGCTTTGATTGTTGTGTTTGCTGTTTTCCTTCAGACTATAGCTGTGTGAGGTATAAGAGTGATTTTTTCACCATTTGTTTCATTCAAGTTACAAATGTGCAAATGAAATTAATAAGGGATGACACTGTTTCTTACACACTTGATTCAACTAAATATTGGCTTGAAGTTGTTACGTTGACCATACTGTATTTATTTTTGGGTGCCTAATGTGTATTCATTTTTGGGTTCCTAATGCATATTCAGTGTAACATTCCTCAAGTAGTTGTCCAAGTGTCATGGTTTATAGATCATCGGCTGAAAATCTTGTGTAAATCTCAAGACCGATATTTTGATTACTTTTCCGAAGTACAACGACCCAGAAACCATTGGCTCATGAATATGTATGAGAGTAAGTTATGCATTTCAATGACAATGGAGCAACTGCAAACATGGCTTGCATATTGTACAGGTATACCATTGGTTGACATGAATGCATATTATATGCCAACTCAGTGACATTAGGAATGTGATTTAAATATGAGGGCGGAGCCGTATTTGCATTAATGAGATCATTTGCATATAATTATTAGAATAAGAAATGCATAGGACCCAGTGTATTTTTTTCTATCATTGATGTGATTTAAAAATATATTCCAATATTTTTAGCACCATCCGTTTCACACATTTTCATCCACATTTCATTTTTCCTCTTCAAATCACAACCTTCCCAATTCTCTCCCTAAAAACTGTGCCATTTTTTTTGCTACAAATCCCCACAACTAACTTTTTCTGACTTAAAAAAATCACACCCTGCCTCATTCCCTTTGGCCCCGCCCACCCTTACATCCTCATTCGCATATTAGATGGGCCCACTGAGCCTCCCAAGGCTGTGATTGGACAGAATCCATCAGGTGATGTTACTGGGGTGACTGGAGAAGGTAAAAGAAGCACAGTGATTGGTCCCTTCATCTCATGCATATTCATCTCATTTTCATGTTCATCCGTTTGCATGGTGTTGGTGATCACAGCTTTGAACTGTAGTGTAAAGAATTTTTCACTTCGTATGGAATCTTTGAAACATCCATTGAATTTTGACAAAATAGTATTTGCTTAAATTTAATTTTATTTGGGTTTTTTAGAACGCATTATTTGGAATGTAATATTGCATAGCTGGAAATCAGAAATGTTTTACAAGTTTTGTGCGATTGAATGTTTGATGTGTAGATTTTATCTTCAAATACGTGTATGATTCATTATTCATATTTTTATAACACACCATAAGTAATATTGTAAGATTTATAAAATTGTTGGTTTTGTACATGTGCAGTTTATTTTCATCTTGCTGCTTTAACATTCCAACGCATACATTTTGTATTTGCAGATTTTATTTGTAACTTTACCAGGAAATGATACGAAGCTGCAACAGGAAGGAACTTTTATACACTATAACATATTGTAATATATCATATTCCCTATAATATATTATAATATATCCAATTCTGTATTTTTCCTGGAATTTTTTTTTGGAAATTTATCAGGAACAAAGGAAGCTTATTAGTGAAGAAATTGTTATTGTCCAGCAATTAAGAAAACATTTTTGGAAAAGGCTAAATATCCAACATTTATCCAACTTCTAAACAGTACCGTAATCCCTTCAAATTCTTTAACCAGGCAAAGGAACCGAGGAGGCGGAGCAAGGAGAAGAGGAGGAGGAGCATCTGGAGACCCCGCCCCCTGTGGAGGACCCCTTGCCCCCCGAGGGGCTGGAGACCACCCAGTTCAAGGAGTTGCGGAACGACTTTGAGCGTGAGTGGCCCTCGGTCCAGGCGTTAGTGACAGGCATGCTCAACGTGGAGCCTATCGTGGTGGATATTGAGAATCGCCCGGTGGAGCAGTTGATGAAGGAATCCTTTACCGCAGTAGAACGTGAGTTATTCCCTGCAATTTATTAGCTTTTCTGCATATTTGCGGTAAAGCCTTTGTTTTTGTTCTGATTAATATTTCTTCTTTCTCATTTTGTTCTATCAAAAATGTCTTGCAAAAACAAGAAGAGCAAACTTCACAACTGCATTTCTAGTTTTTATTATGTTTTGATATCTCGCTGTCCCTTTTTTTCCAGAGCCTTTCTCCTACCGGCCTTGGGAGTACACCAGCATTGATCTGGACGAGGAGGAAGAAGACGCAGAGGCAGAAGAAGACGACGAAATGGAAGAAGAGGAGGTGAGCTATTTCTGTTGCTTTTAAGGATGGGAGTCTATGTTTAGAGGGTTAAACATGTATGCACCAAATTCTTAGTGGCTCAAGATCAATTCAGAGTCCCCCACTTTTTGTGATTACTGGGCTGGTTTTTTACCATTACGGGGCTGGCTTTTTACCATTACTGAGCTGGCTTTTTACCATTGCTGGGCTGGCTTTTTACCATTACTGGGCTGGCTTTTTACCATTACTGGGGTGGCTTTTTACCATTACTGGGGTGGCTTTTTACCATTACTGGGCTGGCTTTTTACCATTACTGGGCTGGCTCTTTACCATTACTGGGCTGGTTTTTTTACCATTACTGGGCTGGCTTTTTACCATTACTGGGCTGGCTTTTACCATTACTGGGCTGGCTTTTTACCATTACTGGGCTGGCTTTTTACCATCACTGGGCTGGCTTTTTACCATTACTGGGCTGGCTTTTTACCATTACTGGGCTGACTTTTTACCATTACTGGGCTGGCTTTTTACCATTACTGGGCTGGCTTTTTATCAACACTGGGCTGGCTTTTTACCATTACTGGGCTGGCTTTTTATCAACACTGGGCTGGCTTTTTACCATTACTGGGCTGGCTTTTTACCATTACTGGGCTGGCTTTTTACCATTACTGGGCTGGCTTCTTACCATTACTGGGCTGGCTTTTTATCATTACTGGGCTGGCTTTTTACCATTACTGGCTGGCTTGTTACCATTACTGGGCTGGCTTTTTACCACTACTGGGCTGGCTTTTTACCATTACTGGGCTGGCTTTTTACCATTACTGGGCTGGCTTTTACCATTACTGGGCTGGTTTTTTACCATTATTGGGCTGGTTTTTTTACCATTACTGGGCTGGTTTTTTACTATTTCTGGGCTGACTTTTTACCATTACTGGGCTGACTTTTTACCATTACTGGGCTGGCTTTTTACCAGTACTGGGCTGGCTTTTTACCAGTAGTGGGCTGGCTTTTTACCATTACTGGGCTGGCTTTTTACCATTACTGGGCTGGCTTTTTATCACCACTGGGCTGGCTTTTTACCATTACTGGGCTGGCTTTTTACCATTACTGGGCTGGCTTCTTACCATTACTGGGCTGGCTTTTTATCATTACTGGGCTGGCTTTTTACCATTACTGGGCTGGCTTTTTACCATTACTGAGCTGGCTTTTTAGCATTGCTTGGCTGGCTTTTTACCATTACTGAGCTGGCTTTTTACCATTACTGGGCTGGCTTTTTACCAGTACTGGGACGTTCCAAAGCTTGCTTTGGTATTTCTGACAATGCACTCCCCTTTTTAATAGCGTCGTGTCAACAGCTATACAAAACGCACCGTGTGATGGGCGTTCAGGCTTGGAAGTGTCCCAGTAATGGCTTCCAGAACCGTCACGTAATTTCATATTCGGATCCAAAATAAATTTTTGTTCAATTTTCCTGTCAAAACAGGATGAAGAGATGATGAAGAACAAGAAGAAGCAGTTTGGCGACACCAAGCATTTCTGCCCGGTTCAGTACAAGGAGAACTACGTCCTGTGGCCCGGTAACCCAGAGATTGGAGCCAAGTATCGGGAGAAGGTCTACTACTTCTCTACCACTGAGGCGAGGGAGAAGTTCTTAGCCGAGCCAACGTTGTATGTGGCCAAAGGCAAACCGTTCAAGGTGAGTTTGGGATGAATTTTGCTTCCAGCTACATCAACTGTGTTGTAGTCAAGTCCATCACAAGTCCTTTGAATTCCTTAACAGTCTTTACAAGTCTTTGCAATCCTCGCAAGTTTGACAAGTCCCCAGAACTCCTCACAAGTCCTCACAAGTCTACGCAAGACCTCACAAGTCTCACAAGTCCTCGCAAGTCCTCACTAGTCCTCACAAGACCTTTAATTCCTCACACGTCCTCACAAGTCCTCACAGGTCTTCACAGATCCTTCACAAGTCTTCGCAATTCCTTGCAATTCCTCCACAAGTCCCTGCAATTATTTGCAAGTCCTCACACATCCTCGCATGTGCTTGCAAGTCCTCACATGTCCTCACAAGTCCTCACAGGTACTCACAGGTCCTTCACAAGTTCTTTAATTCCTCACAAGTCCTCACAAGTCCTTACAATTCTTTGCAAGTCCTCACAAGTCCTCACATGTCCTCACAGGTCCTTCACAAGTCCTTGCAATTCCTCATAAGTCCTTGCAATTCCTCACAAGTTCTTTAATTCCTCACATGTCCTCACATGTCCTCACATGTCCTTACAATTCTTCGCAAGTCCTCACAAGTCCTCACATGTCCTCACAAGTCCTCACAAGTCCTCACATGTCCTCACAGGTCCTTCACAAGTCCTCGCAATTCCTCACAAGCTCTTTAATTCCTCACAAGTCCTCACAAGTCCTCTACAAGTCCTTCCAATTCTTCGCAAGTCCTCACAAGTCCTCATAAGTCTTTACACATCCTCCCAAGTGCTTGCAAGTCCTCACATGTCCTCACAAGTTTTACAAGTCCTCACAAAAATCCTCACAAACCCTCACAAGTCCTGACACGTCCTCACATGTCCTCACAAGTCAATCACACATCACCCAGTCCCCAGTCAAGTCACAAGCTATTCAAATAAACTGTGACAACGGCATTCCTTTGGTGTTGTACAGCCTGGTTTACTTTATGTCTTGACTTGTGATAGGATTGCAATTTCCCTTTTCCTCTTTTCCTGCCATTTTTCCAGCCGGCTCCGGTGCGTCTCCTCATCTTGGGCCCCCGCGGCGCGGGCAAGAGCCTCCACGGCCGCTACCTGGCTGAAAAACTAGGCATCTTCCACATCTGCTTTAAGGAGCGTCTGCAAGAACTCGTCATAGCCAAGACGAAGAAAAAAATCGGCCCGGAGTTTGAGGAAGAGGAGGAGGAACCTGACAGCGAGCCCGAGGATGAGGCCGGAACCGGACCGACAGAAGAACAGACTACTCCTGAAGGAGCAGGTATTGTTGGTACATTTCAGATGTTTTGAAACCGCGGCGACATATCCGTCCGTGGCTTCAGGAGGACTTAGTCCCTCTACTTGGGGACTCTAGCTCAGTGTAGGCCGATAATTTGTCGCGGTTTTTCAGTTCAAACCTTAAACAAACAGTTTCTCTGTTTGCACCCTTTGTCATTAATTATATCAACTGGGCATTTTTACCATGGAAAATTAATTTTTCAAAATAAACTTGTCATTTTAAAGGGGGAAGATTTACATTTTTAACAATATTTAAGACAAGCTATCGTCATCATTTTCTGCATCTCGACACTCAGTGTGTCTTGGCAAAATCATCTTTTCAGAGAATTTTATTTATATTTTGTGCATGTTAAAGGGGAAGTGTGTCTTGGCAAAATCATCTTTTGAGAGAATTTTTATTTTCATTTTTGATTTTTTTGCATGTTAAAGGGGAAGGAGAGGAAACAGCGACTGCTGAAAACAAAGAAGAAACGGAAGAGGTAAGACGTGAACCTTAATCTTGAAGACCGATGTTCAATACAGCGTCGGGCCGAAGCAAAACATATTAGGAGTGACTCTAGTCAAATCGAAATAGTTTTTGTTTTCAGACAGGCAAACTTTATGCATTTTTACCCCCGAATATTGGACTCCTTTCAGACAGCTGGGTGAAATGAGGCAATCGGAGTAAAGTGTCTTGCCCAAGAACACAAACACTGGTTCTGTCAGGGTTGGAACCAACATACCATCACACATAAGTTGGACATGGCAACCATTGGACCGCAGCGCTCCACTAATACATAACATTTATTTGTGTTGATATTTTATGCTTCAATTTTTCTAAATATTTATAACATTTATTTTATTTATGAATTTTTGTTCAGGTTTCTAGAAAATACCTTTTGGGACTTGAGTTACAGAGCTCGAATCGGGAGCTTGCGACACCATCACGGTGTCGTTATCAACTGGCGTTGTTGAGGCCCTCATGTGACCCGTCACGTGACTAAGCTTGGTCACACGACAGGAGGTGGTCGTTCTCCATACGCCAGTTGGCAAAGACACCGTGATGGTGTCGAAAGCTCCTGATACGAGCTCTGTAACTCAACTCCCAAAAAGGTATCTTTTATTAACATGATTCAATGATGGGACTAGTAACAAACTTTCATACTCAATTTTTTTTCATTTTTTCATTTTTTAGGAGGAGCCAGAGATAGAGTGGACTGAGGAAGAAGAAAACATCAAAGGCAACCTGATGGAGGAGGAATCACTGACCCCAGAAACTCTGGAGAAGATTGTCCCAGAATGGTGGAACTTGGAACAGTTCAAGTATGTCCATATTTCCAAATAATCTTTAGGGATTTAGGGTTCATCAAATTTCTGGGTTTTTTTTGGTAAGCTTAATTTTTATCCCCATTAAAGTCCTGCTATGTTCCAACTCATTGAAAGTACACCAGTACAATTGCAGAATACCCCACCACTCAATCTATACACCTCGTAGCTGGCTACGGAGTCACGGTTGATTGCCCTCAATAAACCTTCTCAGCGCTGCATGTATGTACTATACGTCATGCTCCACTGCACTCCCACTCCGTATCCGCGTAGCCGCCAACAGGGTAGTTGGTTTGGACTTAGAATTTTTTCAGCAACTCCCATTACTTTTGTGTTGCTTCGTTCTCAAGCAGTATAAGGACTCCCACTTTGTAGCCGCGTAGCCAGCAACAGGGTCATGAGGGTAGTTGGTTTGGACTTAAAAAAATGTCAGCCACTCCCATTGCTTCGTTCTCAATGGGACCCCCACTCAGTATCCGCGTAGCTGGCAATGGACTTGAATTGTTTCTTTTCCAGTGATTCCAACCTCGTAGACAGAGAATTTAGGGGTGTATTTTCGAGTGGCGGGGTATTCTGCAATTACTCTGGTACACCAATCGTTGGCCTTTTGTGACAAAATTCATTGTCTTTATGGCAGAAAATGAGCATTTTACTGGAGGCTGTTAAGACACTGGACCCAAGACCCTGTAGCCTGATGAGGAAGACGAAGCCAAGATGTTTTTCAAAACCTACTCCCTGTTTCCTTCACAGGTCCACAGGCTTTGTCCTGGAAGGTTTCCCGCGCACGGTCGAGGAGGCCCACTTCCTTGCGGAGCACGGCCTCTTCCCGGACGCGGCGATCCTCCTGGCCGTCGAAGACACGGACATCCAGAGCCGCTTGCTCCCGCCCAAGCTGGACAAGTGGAAGCAGAAGCGTGATCGCAGGCTGGCCCGAAAGGAACGGCGGAAACTCCGCAAGAAGAAGGAGAGGGAGACGCTGATCAACAAGAGGAGGCTGGAACTGGTGGCAGAAGTGGCAGAGAGGAAAGCCGAGAGAATTGTGAGTCTCTGAGACTTTTTTTTTTTTTTTTAATAAAACTTAAAGATATTCATGAGCAAAACTGTGATGTCATTCCAGGCAGAAACCTCAGTGTTACAGGTAATTCAGCACAAAAAGTTGCCACAATCTTTGATATTTTTGCTGTCATAGATTTTCTTTTCTTTGGTGATTCGTTGTTGTGTCAGTACATGGCAGTAAGCCAATGTCTCACAAATGTTTTCAATGAGGAAAGTTTGGGTTCACAATTTGAACAGAAAACAACTGAACATTGTCTTCCTGAAATGACATCACAGCAACAGCGCCCTCAGTTGTCCGGAAAAGGACAATTTTTTGATGTTTAAAGAAGTGCACTTTTCAATGAAATTAACCAAAAAAAGGGATGGCAAATAGTTTTCATACATTTAACTTTTAATAAGAGGAGTAGAAAGTTGCACAAAATGTGTTCCTATTGAAATTCATCTTTTGGACCCTTTCACTGTCATCATTGTCATCCTCATCATTTACTTGTCACCATCAAAAGTAGCATTCATATCAACATCTAACAAAAAACAAATATACCACTAAAATATTTGCCTGTAAAAGTTACGAGCATTTGCATTAAATAACATTTCACTTTTCCTCGATCCATTTGTCTCAATTTACCAGGCTGTGCAACGGGTATGTAAAAAAAATCACTCACTCACTGTCACCTCTTGAGAGGCACATTTTTAAAAAATTGCAGAAATCACAAAAACTCTTTGCACCCGATCAGTCACAAATATCACCTGAAATGAAACACACTATTCCACAGTGATACACATGTGCACTTTCTCATCACAAAACTGAGAAACTCTGGTTATTCTGGTTAAAAGGAATATACAACATTTGCAAACATCAAAAAACAAAATTACCAAATTGTTATGAAATACCTTACTAAGTTACTGGATTGTTAGTGAATGACAGTCTAAAGCATCCTGTAAAATCATGGCACCTGGTGTGCAGTCATTTTCATGAAAAGTGATATTTTTGTATCAATTCCAACGCTGGTCGGCCGACCAGCGTTGGAAAAACCTGATTTTGTTTTCAACTACTGCCCCCAATTTACCAAATTTATTCGGTCCATTTTTGTTTGCAATTGGTTTCACGTCCGTGAACGGGTGCAAGCCAGCTAGACTTGTTCCCTAACCTTACAATTCCAGACGTCTATAAACTGCTCTGTTTCATCTTAAGTGGGGTCAGGGAGCCAGACTACAGGAACATGATTGTTTTTCTTGGTTTTTCCAGCATCTACGAATACAAAACTTCAAACAAGTCCATGTAACAATTTACTAATACTAAAAATACTAACCCCCCAAATCCATCCATTTCTGAAGATAATAGCAAAAGCAAATGTTGTATATTCCCTTTAAAAGCGTCGAGTCAATGAATTTGCAAAAAACTTTACATCACAAGGGCCAAAATATAAAGGAATTCCACTTTAATAATTGATTTCAAGATTACATGAATATTTAAGTCACTTCGTTGCACTGTACCTCCACAATGGTTTGACTGGTCTTTTTTTGCAGGCATGGCACTGTTTTGGAAAAATACACTCACATTTTAATCGCACGGAACCAGAAAACATGTGTCTTGTGCCCAAAGAATTCATGTGAAATTGCCACCTCATTTAGGAAAGAATGCAAAATTGAACAAGTGGCACCTCAAGGCTGAACCTCTAGGTACCCCATAAAACCTCACTAAACCTCACAAAACCTTGAGGTAAATCTCAAATTACTGCCTGTTTAATTTCACATTCTCCCCTTTTGTTATCTCTAATTTGTGGTCGCAGAATTAGTCTGTAGGCCTAGCAGAGAATCCTTCAAACTGTTTGTCCAAACTCCGGTGAAATTTTTCAAAAGCCCATCCAAAGTCGATAACAGTAGTACCCCCTGCTGTATCAGATTTGAATCAGCGGAGCGGACCCCGGCAAGCTCAGCGATTTGAATTAAGACATCTGCACCAAGAACCAGGAGGTTATCGGTTCGAGTCCCTCATGAATAAGCTTACTAGCGTCTCTCACACATTGTCAAACGCGAACGTGAATTTATGAAACCACAGGAAGTATTTCCACTTCGAATTTGTAAAAGTTTCACACATTACAACTCTGGCGAATTTTGCAGCGAATGTTTCATGACGTCAAATCCGCTTCGCATTCCCATTCTCGTGAAGTTATGAACCAGCCTGCAGACAGCACAGATAACTTGGTACTTATATAACGTCGGGGAAGGCTTAAAACATTCTGTCGAAAGTCAATTTTTTTTAAAAACTAAAACACAGGCGCAGAAAGCAGCAGACAGAGACAGCGACGACTCGGAACACTCTGAAGATGAGCAAGAGGAGGACGAAGAAGAGGAAGACATCGAGGCCCTGCTGGCCGAGGAGTTTGAGGAGGAAGAAGAGGAAGAAGAAGAGGAGGAGGAGCTGGAGGAAGATGCGGTGGACCGACTCAAGAATGAGATTGGGGAGATGTACGACGACGACACAAACAAACTGGCATCGGTGCAGGTAAGGAGATGCATCAGGAACCTGTTTCACCAACTTTTGTTACACTGGTGTTACACTGTGTTGTTACACTGGTGTTACACTAGTGTTACGCTGGTGTTACACTAGTGAAACACTAGTGTTACACTGGTGTTACACTGGTGTTACACTGTGTTACACTGTTGATGTTCTCAAATTAATGTAATGCTGTCTCTGGTGTTACGCTGGTGTTACACTAGTGAAACACTAGTGTTACACTGGTGTTACACTGGTGTAACACTGGTGTTACACTGTTGATGTTCACAAATTCATGTAATCCTGTCTTTTTGTGTCCCTGCAGGAAACTTTGGAGGAGATACTGGTCCCCCGCATCGAGCTCAACGGCGGCCGCAAGCCCCACATCGTCCGCTACACCCTGGAGCAGAACCTCAAGCCCATCGTGGACTGCCGGGAGAGCCTCTTTGAGAAGGCCTACGCCGTCAAAGAGCACGTGGCCAAGAAGATGCTGCAGATTGGTTACAAGCACCCCAGCCGATTCGGCAGGTGGTGCCCGGCTAAGGTAAGCAGCCAAGTTCGGGCAAGGACCATTAGTCGACTAGTGGTTGATTTGTGACGTACTTTCAGCCTGCGCACTGATAGCAACGTGCGAACATCTCTAGTCAAACGCTGGTCAAAAAGTCATCCCAAACTTTTGGCTCCTGGCTCCCTGCTGCACGTTATGAATGTGCGCGGCTATTGGTTACCAGCGATGCAACCAGCCCCAGTAGGTTGGTTCCAAATAGTCGACCGGCGTAGTCAACCACCGTCGACTAGACAGAGTTCGGGCTAACGTTAGTCGAACTATGGTTAACCAATGGTCAATAATAGTTCTTGCGCAAACTTGCCCAATATTGGCAGGAGCCTGGCCCAAGATGTCAGTGATCGATAGCGATGGTTGCATTATTGTAGAGCGCTCTTTGCCCAATTGCTTTCTTTACTTTCTTGCACTCACGTCTTGGGAATCTTGCAGCAATTAGAGTGTGGCCGTTTCACATAAATGAGACCGTTAGAGTCAATATTGATATCTTCTAGCTTCCCATTTGATACAGGTAGTTGCTTGTCCACTGCACGTAGCACATAATGCTTACAACCGTCGCGTGAAGACGATACACTTAAAAAAAAAAAGGATTTCAACTCCGAACGCCCTTTATGGCTCGTGTGACTGACTATAAACCATTTCGTGATCGCTGATTTGTTCCCTAGGAAAGTCTAGGGAGAAAATCAGTTAAACGGCTACTACAGGATTCCCAAGATTTTAGTGCGAGCAGCTGCTCTAGTTTAATCATGCGTTGGATATGCACAATCCACTATCGATCTCTAGCATCTTGGGCCAAAACTATATAGGCAGGGAACCAATCAGTAAAAATGTGCTTCATATGATGTTTTTTTGCAAAGCAAATATTTTTGCATGTTAGCAAATATTTTCTGTGCCCCAAAATTTCTGGACCATCAGTTGATTTAGAAGGTGATGCCCAACTAAAGTAACGAACATTGGATATTTCCTGTGTAAACAATGAAATGCATGCATTGAAAAAAAATTCTCAAAACTTTTAGGAAATACTCCATGTAGAATAAAAAACACACTTCTTACATCTAAAGATGGTGTCCTATAAAGTTAGCGGAAGTAAGGCCGCATCCAATTTGTACTTGACCATGAAGTAAAGATTGCTTGTTCCATCATCAGGAAAATATCAATTCATGAATGCTGTCCTGACTACCTAGCCTTTGTTCTCCTGCCCCCTAGCTCATGGAAGGCGACTGCATCCAGCCCATGCAAGGCCCAGGCTACCCGTCCTTCCCGTCCATCTACCATCAGCACATCTACTTCCTGTCCTCGCCCCAAGCCCGCGAAGAGTTCACCATGCACCCGCTGAAGTATCTCAAGCAGCCGTCGCCGAAACCTGTCGTCCCGATCCGAATGTCTATACTGGGACCTCCAAAGTCCGGCAAGACATCACGTAAGTCTTAAATTTGTATATCTGTTTGTATTTTTGCTGTATCCTTGAGCAAGTGCGATTAATGCGCTACATCATTATTACCCTGCTCATTGGGCTAACGAAACATTCCAAAGACAATCTCAGCTCCCTGGGGAGTATACAGCTCGATGCTGCCATTTGGGCGCAGGGCAGCTAAATCAACCACAATGACCATCTCTGCCCTCACAGGTACCCATTTACCCCTGGGTGGGGAAAAGCAATGAGTGGCAAAGTGTCTTGCCCAAGGGCACACACACTAGGCTGGACTCGAACCCACAACCTACAGAATAACTCACAGATCTTGAGTTCTGTGCTCCAGACCGCGAGGCCATGGCACTCCACTTGATGAAGAACATTGATTGACTTGTGAAGACCTTTGGTTGACTTTTCTATCCAATCTTGTTTCTCAGTGGCCAATCGTTTTGTCTCCGAGTACGGCATGATCCGTCTCTCCATCGGCGAGGCGATCCGCTTCATCCTCAACCAGCAGCCCAAAACAGAGCTGGCTGCGCAACTGAACCGACACCTGCAGAAGGGGTTGACGGTGCCAGACGAGCTCGCCGTGCAAGCATTAGAGGTGTCACTGCTGGATATGAGGGGCAGCACTAGAGGGTAAGCCAGGAGCTTGTGTATTATGAGCACCTGTGTAGGTCACTCTGTATTATTGACACTTGTGTATTGTGGTCACCTGTATATTGTGAGCATCTGTGTATTGTGATCACCTGTGTAGGTCACCTGTATGACGGGCACTTGTGTATTGTGGTCACCTGTGTAGGTGCCCTGTATGTTGTGAGCGCCTGTGTATTATGGGCACCTATGTTTTGTGGGCACCTGTGTATTGTGGGCACCTGTGTAGGTCACCTGTTTGACGGGCACTTGTGTATTGTGGTCACCTGTGTAGGTGTCCTGTATGTTGTGAGGGCCTGTGCATTATGGGCACCTGTGTATTGTGGTCACCTGTGTAGGTGTCATTGTGAGCGCCTGTGCATTATGGGCACCTGTGTATTGTGGTCACCTGTGTAGGTCACCTGTATGACGGGTACTTGTGTATTGTGGTCACCTGTGTAGGTGTCCTGTATGCTGTGAGCACCTGTGTATTATGGGCACCTGTGTATTGTAGGCACCTGACTATTATAATCCCTGTGTATTTCTGGCACCTGTGTATCATGGATGCGTCTTTTTTGAGCTACCCTGGATAGTGGGAACCTGTTTATTTTAGGCACCTACTGTGGGCACATGTGTATTGTGGATACCTATTTATTGTGAGCATCTGTGAAGTTTGAGCAACTGTGTTTTTGTGGTAACCTGTTTATTGTGGACACCTGCGTATTGTGGCCATCCATCCAATTTGGCCACTTTTGTACTTAAATGTACCCGTGAAGTCTGTCCCAAGCCAATATGGCTCATCAGGTCGGCATTTGTGATGCGATCAAGCTAAATGAGTCGTTTGTCGACCCTGGTCAAATTTTTTTTATTACAGATTTGAAAGGAGCACAATCTCAGCATTACTTCTGTGAAAACCGCATGCTGATACCACCTTTAGTTAAAAAATTATGGAAGTCGGAACACCAAGAGATGTGATGAAGTGACGTGATGAAGTGGTCCTATTTTGGCCTGAATCTCCAAATGAAAATTTCTGACAAACGACTCATGTAGCTTGATCGCATCACATTTATCTCCAGTTTCCTTAGCATGAAGTGAATGAGAATATTTCTACTCCTCCTGGATGGGATGCCAGTCCATCACAGGTTACCCCCGGCTAATGCCGGTATCCATTGATACTCCTGGGTGGAGAGGCAAAAGGGGGTGAAGTAGCTTGCCCAAGGACACAATTGGACAGCGGCCGGATTCAAACCCTTTACCTTCAGATCATGAGTCATGAAACCCAAGCTATGATGCCACTTTCCCTTGCCATCACAAGTCATCACAGGTTACTCTCCAGCTAATGCCGGTATCCATTTATACTCCTGGGTGGAGAGAGGCAAGTGGGGGTGAAGTGGCTTGCCCAAGGACACAACATACGGCCAGCAGCTGGATTCAAACCTCTGACCATCTGATCATGAGTCACAAACCCTAACCACTACACCATATTCCCCACTCGTGTTTGATGTTGTGAATGCTTTTAAAAAAAAAAAAAATTAAGAAAAAAATCCCTGTCATATTGTCAAGATTTTCCTAAAATTTCGAAAAAGTTTTAAAAATGTGTTAATTTATCTCAATTCTACCTCGCTGCAGCTATGTTTTGGACAGTTTCCCGGCCACCAAGCGCCAAGTGGACCTTCTGACTGAGCACTGCATCATCCCCGTCTGCGTGATCGAGCTGCAGGTAGACAGCAGGGAGCTGATGGTCCGAGGCATGAAGGACAAAAACTCAGCAGACAGGTAGGCCCGAGCAGACCCTGCCCTGTAACACGATCCTAACAAAGCCCCCCAGACTAGTGAAACTTCCACCGAGGGCCAAATTACTGAAGCTGCTAACAGCAGAAACTGTTACGCAGTACATGTAAATGCTTAGGGCAGTCTCGTTACATATCCGTGACGAGTTCTGGACAGAACTGCAGACATGTATCGGGAATAAGTTGCAGGATTTTGAACATCTTCCCTGCAATCTTCCCGCAATGAATTTATCAGTATTGGTGAGTCAAGCAGTTGCTAATGAAAATTTCCCCTGAACATGCCCGGGACAAATGCAGAGTTTCTTCAAGACAAAGTGAACGATTCTAACCACAACTTGTCCGGAACTAGTCCCGGATATGAATTGAGACGGGCTCGTAACTGAAATCAGCTAAGAACGAGGTTAAATTTGATGGATCTGTTTACTGTAAAGGAAAAATCTCTACTACTAACTATATCAGAAAATTCTGAGCTAATTTCCTCACAGGTTAGTGAGGAAATTTGGCTTTTGAACATGCGAACATCTAGTAACTTAGGGACTGTGACCATTCAGCCCTGGTATGAAAAGGGCCCCCCGGTACCTCGTCCGGTCCAGAGCCAGTCCGGTCTTCAGCCCAGTCTCGTCTGGTACACCTGTCTGACCAGAAGTTTTTTAAGTCAGTCAGGCGCATCAATTTATTGCCCTGCAGAGAACCTCCAGAGCAGAACAGTAGCAGACTTACCGGATTAAAGATAAAATCCTTCCAAACGCCTTGGTAATTTACGGTCCCATTGTGCGCTGTGCGCGAAACAGCTAGCATGGCAGGGGTTTTGATCTGTGCCGACGAAAGTGTTCTATTGTTTCGCGCTGAGAGATGAAAACCACAAGCGGGTTTCTTCTGGGATATATTACATGTGTCAATACATGCAAACAATATACCCCAGGATTGAGGAGTTCCTGATTAGCAACCGGACCAGCTCCTGGGCCGGTAGCTGGGACGGTGCGAAATGACTTCTTGGGAGGGGACGAGCTTACCGGGGGGCCCTTTTCATACCGGGGCTGAATGGTCACGGTCCCTTAGAAAGCTAGCATAGAAAATGGTCATATTCAGTGGTTAGCTAAGCCATGAAATTAAGGAATCAATACCTTCAGAGAAGCTCCTTTACTTATGTTCTGCAACTTCATTTGAAGTCCTGCACTGTCGTTTTGTTGCTCTCTTCCAGGGTCCTACCGTTCCACGACAGTGCCCAGATCTTAGCCATCCGCATCGCCGCCTGGCAGAAGGAGATCACGGCGGTCCGGGAGTGGTACAAAGAGCAGCACCGTAACTGGGTGCCGCTGGATGGCGAGAGGTCCAAGTGGTGGGTGTGGAACCGCTCGGCCAACGAGGGCAAGAGGACGGTCCGGCATATACAGGACTACCTGCAGAGGATATCGGAAGGTGAGAGTCACATGTCAGTCACGTGTGAATCCCATGTCAATCACATGTCAATCACATGTGAATCCCATGTCAGTCACTTGTGAATCACATGTCAGTCACTTGTGAATCACGTGTCCATCACGTGCCAATCACATGTGAATCACAAGTTAATCACATTTTATTATAAACAAATCAATCACATGTCAATTACATGTCTGTCACATGTAAATCACTAGTCAGTCACGTCAGTCAGATGTAGCTCATGTCACTCACCAGTCAATCCCTTGTTATCACATAAGTCAAACATATGTAAATCACAAGTTATCACAACTTATCGAAAGTCAGTCAGAGGCCATCACAGGTCATCACAAGTTATCACTAGTCATCACAAATTATCACAAGTCATCATAAGACATCACAAGTCATCACAAATTATCACAAGTCATCATAAGGAATCACAAGTCATCACAAATTATCACAGGTCATCACAAATTATCACAAGTCATCATAAGACATCACAAGTCATCACAAATTATCACAAGTCATCACAAATTATCACAAGTCATCATAAGGAATCATTAGCCATCACAAGTCATCATAAGGAATCACAAGTCAATTACAAGTCAGTGTTGCAAGTCAATGACAAGTTATCACAAGTCATCATAAGGCATCACAGGTCATCATAAGGCATCACAAATCATCATAAGGCATCACAAGTCAGTCGTAAGTCAGTGTTGCAAGTCAATGACAAGTTATCACAAGTCATCATAAGGCATCCCCAAACATCATAAGGCATCACAACTCAATCACAAGTCAGTGTTGCAAGTCAATGACAAGTTATCACAAGTCAAGCACACGTGAATCATATATCAGTCACATGAGTTTTACTTGTAAATCGCTAGTCAAAGTACAAGTTATTTAATCTCAAACCAAAATTCACAAGCTTTTCAAAGATTAAAAGGCGTTCCTTTGTTATTGTTTATCTTTGTATTTGTTGCGGCCGTCTTGCGATATTGATTTGTGCTTGATTGGGAAGAATTTGATTTCAAGTTTGCAGTTTTATCATTGCGTTTAATGCAAAATGTAGTATTTTCAAAGTATTTTTTCTTATTTTCCCTTTTTGCTTTTCCAGGCAAAGCAGCCTCCGTGGCCGAGATGTGCATCACCCCGAAAGAGTTCCTGGCCCGCCTGGGCGACTTCGGCCAGTACTGCCCGGTCAGCCTGGCCAAGGAAGGCCAGCTGGTCGACTGCTCGGTCAACCTGACCATGGAGTTCGCGGCTGAGTTCCGCGGCCGCTACTACAAGATGGAGAACCAGGCCAAACTGGAGGAGTTCTTGGCCAGCCCGGAGCGGTTTGTCCCGCCGCTGGCACCCAGGCAGCTGCCCGCTCTGGAGCTGTTGCCACGTCGGCGGTCCCCGATGGAAGTCAAGACCATGTTCCCGATGCAGTTGGAGCTGCAAGGATACTGCCCGGTTACTTATCTGGACGGAAAACTCAGGTACGACAGAGTTTTGCTTTGCGCTTATTAATTCTTTAAAGACCAACTATACCAATGGATGGAAATGTTAAAAGAATACGGGAACTGATATTTTCTAATCTTCTACACATTTTTTAAAGAAAAAGAATAAAAATGTCTTTAAAAAAAGTGTTTTTAAGTAAAAACAATTGCCGTCTTTCATTTTCACAAATACAGAACTCTAATTTTTTAACACCTTTTTCTTAGTATTTAAAAGAATGTAGGAACTGATATTTTCTAATCTTCACATATTTTTAAGAAAAAGTAAAAAAAATCGTTAAAAAAATTGTTTTTAAGGAAAAACAATTGCCATTTTTCATTTTCACAAATACAAAACTCAAAACTTTAAACAACTTTTTCTCAGTATTTTACTTTTTTTACATGTCGATACATACAGAATATCCAACTGAAGTGCAACAAAAAGTATTATAAGGAGAATTTATTCTCTCTCCTAACACTGCAAACCCTCATTTCGACCTCTGCCAAGTTCCATCTCATTTTGACAAAACGCCTCACATTTGCTTGAATAGACCTTGAAGAAAATCATTTCATAAGTTGAAAACCTCCTTTGTTTCTCTTCTTGGAGATGCTCAATCACTAATTCCTCAGGACATCACCGGGCTTAAAATATGCCTGTTATTCTTTCTGGACATTGCCTTGAACAATTTGCCTGTGAATTCTCTTGTGCGACACAGGCCTAGGAAACTGTACGATATTGGGTGCAGGAATTGATCCTTTTGCAGACCAAAGTACCGCCACACAAGCTAACCTCTGGCTCCCCACTTCCTCCTAGATATGAAGCCATCATCCCCGGCAACCCGGACCTCCTCGTGGAGTACCGCCAGAACCTCTACTGCTTCCTCTCGGAGGAAAAACTCCAGAAGTTCCTCCGCAACCCGGAGAAATACTACAACCTGAAGCTTCCCCACAAGCTCCCCCCGAAGAAAGACCCTCTCTTGGTGACCTCGCTCCCCATGCTCGGGTACATGGAGCAGACGTTATCCGTGGCCATCACTAAGGCTTTGACGACCGTGGGATGCTTCAAGCCCAAGTTCCCGTTCCTGTCGGCGTCGCGGTCGGCGTTGCTCTACGTGGCGTACCATCTGAAATGTGAGTAGTAGTTTGCAGTTTCTCAGTTTCGGATTGTCCCAACTGTGGAGTGTTGTGGCCTCGTGGTTAAGGGCATTGGATTCGTGGTCTGCGGGTAAAGCTGCAGGTTGTGGGTTCGAGTCCAGCCTGGGGTCATGTTGCGTGTGCCCTTGGGCAAGGCACTTTGTCACGCATTGCTTCTCTCTACCCAGGAGTAAATGGGTACCTGTGAGGGCAGAGATGGTTCTTGTGATTGAATTAGCTTCCTTGCGCCTAACAGGCTGCATGGCGCTGTATACTCCCCAGGGAGCTGAGATGGTATTTGGAATGTTTAATTGGCCCAATGATCAGGGTAATAATGATGTAGCGCCTTGAGCAGCAGTCCTGGTGGATACGTGCGCTTTATAAATACCCATTATTATTAACTACTGCTATTAAACTTGGCTACAAAGAAGAAGTTAGACATTCAGGCTAAAACGAATCCTGCGCACTGCATGTCGTACCTGCACAGATTGGCCAATTAACACCATCTGTTCATGCGAAGGTTCCGTAATTGCAAAGAGTTAAGGCCGGTTCACACTCAGCGCAAATCGAACGTGAACGCGTGTTTGTGACTTTCGCGTCTATGATATGCGTGCAGATTCGGCGATTGATCATGCAAAACAAGACTGCGTCTTGACCTCCAGATTCCGACCATTCAGCGGGCGCCTTCTATCGGGTCTCCGGTAACCAGTTGCTGTAATGGCGACCAATTGACCAATCAACAGCTAAGGCAGAATTTCTGCTCGAACTGGCATCACAATTTCTAAAGTTGACTCCGGTTGGCTAACGCGTTGTGTCACACACAATTTGCAGGCTCACATATATCAGACGTTGCTGCTGAGCTTGCAGGCTCCTTTGAACAACAGACGATACTCAGACAAGTTTTCGTGCTGCGAATTTGAAAAAAATTCACCTCATTTCAACACCAGAGAATTTCACTGCGAACGTTTCGTGACGTTAAAATTTGCTTCGCATTGGCATGAAGTATGAGTCGCCTTTAGACATTTTTAGCGCACTTCTTTGGATATTAAAGTTATCAATCCCATAATGAATAGCCCTTTTTAGGTATGCAGGTTTAATCATTGTTTTACCATCTTATATTTTTCATTATACTTGTCCAACTACAAAACTGCCATTTGTGTTGGAATCGGCAATTTCAGCATTACGTGATGTCCGTGACAAAGCTGAATAAACTTGAAAATGTTTTTTCCAAGTCTTATACGGTACATCCATCATCTAGTTATGGTCAATGAGATTACAGACTAGGAGTTTTGGATCATTTCTCTGAATCATTAATTAGATATCATTGTTAAGTTGCTTCGTCATGGACATAACGCTTCCTTTTATAACGGTGGTATTGTCGTATAAACTCCGCTGCATGTGCGAAAGCTAATGTGCGCATCGTACAATATCCCATGAGGCTAAGCTGTCCAAAGCAAATCTGTCTTCGACTTGTCTGTCATTTTCCAAGTATAATGCTGAACTTTGGTGAGACATCCCTTTTCCTAATTCTTATCACTTTAATATTCAACACACAGTTGTCTGTTAACTTCAAATAGCCAATTTATGACATCATCAGGTATTTTGTAAAAACGGTGATTTGATTATCAGAATGTATGTTAATCGACCACGCAAATTGTATAAAGTATTTTGTCATACAATTACAATGCATTGTATTAATTTCATTGCTATTTCTTTAGGCCCCCCCCCAAAAAGTCTCCGGTTTCTGGTATGCGTGCGCGTCGCCGTAGCCATGCGCGTCGGCAAAATGAAAAAGTTTTTTTTCAATGAAAGATGATGTCTCAAAACCGCCAAACTCACTGGTTTGACTGGAATCCTGCTGCTGCACAATTTTAACGTGTTTTTAGATTGGGTTATGGTCGAGAATAAGCTTTATGTGGCCTCTCTAGACTCCCATACTATTTGCACTAAGTTTTATAGTCGGGCACCATTTGCAGTCATCAGCTGACATTTGAAGCCAAAAAATCAGGTAAAAAAAAAAAAAAGCTGCGACGCCGCACCACTTTTTGGGCAAGCTCCATACCAGAAACCGGAGACTTTTTTTTTTGGCCTTAAGGATGAACAGAGTATGAAACAAGTCCATTTTATGTACACAAATTTGATTGAAATATCTTTAAATGGGGTTGAAGTTTTCACTGTTTTGTGTGAGAAGGCATTGTTATTCTGTGGTTTAGTTTTAGCCACCATCCCTATGGGCAGTATATCGACACAAAGGCTAGTTCATGATGTAACAATGTCAGCATGTGAAACCTTTTATCCGTCTGCCGTTTAAAAAAAAAATATTGTTTTATTCTGAAGAGGGAACAAATCTGCTGAATAAAAATAATAGATTGAAAAACAACAACATAAAAATCACCGTTTTTAAATTTAAAAACCTGCTTTAAATACATCTAAATCAATGATAGCACATTTTTCAAGCAATTGCAAAATGAAAAAAAATCCTACTGCAGACTTCAGACAATTAAAGGGAAGATACAACATTTGCAAACATCACAAAACGAAATGATCAAATTATCACGAAATACCTTACTGGATCGTTAGGGAATGACAGTCTAAAGCATCCTGTAAAATCGTGGCTCCTGCTGTGCTGTCATTTTCAAGAAAAATGGGATTTTTCCAACGCTGGTCGGCCGACCAGCGTTGGAGAAAACTGGCTTTTTTTAAAAAGTGCTCGTAATTTTTCATAATTAGTTATTCCACGTTTTCTTTGCAATTGATTACACACCTGTGAAGGGGTACAAGCCTGCTAGACTGATTCTCTGACCTTACAATTCCCCAAAGTCTATACATTGCTCCGTTTCATCTTAAGTGGGGTCAGGGAACCAGACTACAAGAACATGATAGGTTTTCTTGGCTTTTCAGCATCTACAAGCCCTAAACGTGAAATAAGTCATTTTAACAATATTTGCTATAACATACTAATCCTCCAAATCCATTTATTTCTGAAAATTGCAGCAAAAGCAAATGTTGTACATTCCCTTTAAAGTTAAAAAAACCACCTAATTTGATTTCTCCTATGTTTCACCGAGGATTACGACAATTATTCGCAGAAAATATTGCAGTATTTGATTCCAGTACCACCTTGCTCATTCGATCCCCTGCCAATTTTCCAAAAAAATGATTACCTCCATCTGGGTTATGACTCAATTTTCAGAAAGGACAAAAAAAAATCCAGGGTCCTCGTTTCTCACATGACCTCTCCCAGGGTGAAAGGTCAAACCCTGGCTAGCAGTAAACGCAGTAACATAACATGTTGCCTTAACAACGATCAAAACCAGACGGGCATTAAATCTCTCCCCCTTAGACTGGGTTGTTTCGTGACGACCAATTGAGCCTGAAAAATAAAAATACAGCCACATGTCTTCGGGGGTTTGGTAATCCGTGCGTGGCGGATCGCCGCCTTCGACCTACGGGGGAAACATTTTTATTTATCTGTGGGAACCGAGAACTCATGCGCCCACGGGTTGCTCTGGGAAACGGAATAATGCTGGATTACGGCTAGTGGTATTTCCCAAGCGACAATGTACTTCTTTTTGTTATTTTTGTTTTATATGAGAAGCTTAAAGTTCGTTGATCTCGTGGTCTCGTTCTTTCAGTTTTATGGGCTGACCAAAATCAAATATGTGTACAGGATTTTGTTTTATCTAGACGGAAAATCACCAATGCTGAAAAAAAATTGCACCACTCATTCTATTTTCTGTAGTGATAAATTTGTTAGTCCTTTTCATTATGTAATAAAATTGTTTTTTTTTCAAGATGAGGGGGAAAGTGACACAAGCATAATCTTATTGCTCAAAATCAGGGTTCTTTCTTAATAATTTTCATGTAATTTTTTCTCTCTGCTAAAAAAAATTAAGTTTGATTTCTGTTTCTGTTAAACAGAACGAATGTAGTTTCTTTTAAATTTTAAAAATTGTGATCTGCTCAGAAGACACATCTCTGTATAAATAGTTTCACGAGGCCGCTGAAATGTCTGTGAGGTTTTTATTTAATGTTTTTTAAAGAAACATTGGCTATTGAATGTGTAAATGGTACTCAAGTTGCTCCATGAAGATTAACTGTTTTACAATTAATCATAGTTTCATTGTGAATCTCTGCTATGTCGGAAAGAAATATAAACTAATGAATTACTAAATACTTCAGCTCCTACTCTTGTTTTCTCAAATGGTATTCTCCATTTTCCCGATCCAGCGTACAACCCCAAGAGCTCGGACTACGTCCGCAAGAAGTATCGCCGCAAGTTGGAGCAGTTTGAGGACAACTGCGAGCTGATTCGCTACCTGGGCAGTCACATGGCCGGCCGCTACAGGCACCCGGAGGATCGGCCCATCGACTTCGACCACAAGATGATAATGTTCCTGAATTTGAAGGGGCGAGAGCCCACGCCGTCGGCGATCATGTCCTGAAGGGAAAACAAAGTGTCCGGTCCATCAATGTATCCCTGTTTTGTAAGGATTTGTAGGAACCTTCCTCCATCCTTCAAAACCCTTCAAAAAGTATGTTGGATTTTGAAGGATGTGGAGGTCAAAGGTCATGGATGTTTCGGCAAGACAAGGCAAGCCTACTAAAGCTGGTCCCAGAGTTCACAGAATTCTGTTCAATTGATTCAGAATGACTATTCACTGGAGGTCTTTTCATGCATCTGGTTTGCACAGTGGGCCGGATTTAGCCCATTCATTGGTGTTACCTGGTAATCCTATACAATAGAACTGCCCGACTCACAAGTGACAGTCAGTCAGTCAGATTCAAAGACGACACTAGGCTGGCTCTCTGGGACCAGCACAAATGGATTTTGTTTTCGTTCCAAAAATTTATCAAAACGAAGATGAATAATTTTGAAAATTAACGGATAAAGACTGGTTTTCAACAATCGAAAATGGAAGTTCTGTTGTATTCTTGTTCTTCATTTTTGAAACAAAAGGGGTCTTTTAAACAGAACTTCATTGTCGAGATTTATTTGGAGGGGGAGTTACTAAGCAAAGGCAAATTTCTTCCGTTTAAATTATTATCAGAACAAGATTTGATTGGTTTGTTCCCATTTCCGTCCAATATTTAATGTGTAAATAGTTTTCTTTCAGATGCAAAATTATAATAAGATTATTCCGCGAGTTTGTTACGACTTGAATGAAAATACTTCTGCCGTCCAAATTTCCAGTTATGTAAAAAGTGAACGTGTACATAGTTGAATGAATTCAAAAAGTTGATAAACAAAATTGAAATCTTATATTTTGGACTTTCCTTCTGCCAAATTTTGGCCTTTTCTATGTAAATAGCTTTGAAAGAATAAATTGATGTTTTGTTTTGTAACATATTTATGAAAAACTGTTTTCTAACCTCCGTAATATGCTTGATACGTTTGTTTTGCAAAATAAAGCACTGTAAGTGATTTTTATTTCAAAATTTCGGACTTTCTAAAATGTATTCCTACACTAAGCTCAAATTAAGATACCAACCTGAAGATATGTCACAGACTTCAAACTTTCATTTCTCTCAACAAACAATTTGATTAATTAAGAAAAAAATCATTTATTTTTCTTAACTACCAGAGAAATTAACTTAAACATCAGAGAACACAAATTTGAAAGTCTGTAGCAAGTTAGACCACATACACACCCATAACAATCCTTAACAATATATTTATGCTGTAAATATTTAAGAAAATCGACCTTCGCACACTTCTGTGTACAATTCTTGTTTCAGGTAAAATTTGAAAGTCATCGCATTTTGCAAAAGAAAACCACATCACCTTTCAAGGCAACATTAATGACAGCATATTTCCAGTAACATTTCTTCAAACGATTTGTCAACAAGCTGTCACTTATTGAGGTAAAAAAAACTCCCGGCCAAGATATAAAAACTCCAGGGAATAGCAATTTTCAGGGTTGTTTATGACCAAACGCTTCGGCAGACGAATCACCTTGACCACCGATCGAAAGTGAATCTCGCATACCCGGATAATGACGAAATCGCCGGCCCAACCCACCCCAGTTGCCTAGCCCATGGTTACCGAATGATTGCAAAAGGGCACAGGTTAAAACCCGTCTTTTGCTTTGTGATAATAACAATAGCAGACAAGTTTTCAGGGGTGTGTGAATGGCGGGGAAAAAAACCTGAATCGAAAATAATGAAAAATAAAATGAAGTTTGGTTGTAAGGGTAAATCCTAATCATAGAACCATATTGCTTTTCGTGCATTTCCAATAACACCACTCAAAATCCAAAGAAGAATATCCAAAACCTAACCTGTTGAAGTTTCAGCTCAGTGGGTATTACACTGTTCGAGAAAACAGTGAAATCCATGGCCAACCTTTTGATCGCGAAACACGATTTCGTCGATAGCACTCATTTTCCCCTCCAAAAATCAGTTCGTGCTCCTTTGAAATTAACAAAACCATTTTGTCCAAAAAATATCTAACTTGTTTCAGATGCAATATGAGTTATTCAAACAGGTGAAACACATGAAAACATTTGCGTGGGAAAAAAATATCAGAGATTAAGGACCGATTTGTCCGCGATTTGTAAAGTTGCAGACAGTTTGCTCCCCTGTGAGTGGGAGTTTTCAGATTCCGTCTTCTCTGGAAGCACCCGAATCGACAAAACAGACCCCTGCAGAACATGAGCTAATCCCTCAGGGTGGGAAATGAAACCGATGTATGATTTAAAAACCACATTGATGAATTCATGGGAAAGCTATATGCTGGCACATGAATTCATTCATGATTTGCCCGTGCTGTAATTTCTTCACAAGTCCTACTTTTAGCCTAATTTCCAGCATCAGGAGCGGTGGATTTTCAAAACCAGCTCGGCAAATTTTAAGCAACTCGCACGACCATATTTTCTGTCTGAATTTTATTCCGGTGATTTCAAGATTTTCTACAAGTCATGGATTTTTAGGGCCTGCCTATTGGCTCCGTGGATAACGGGTGATACTCGGACCATGCTCAGACTATCGGAATGGGTGGAGACCTGTAAATTGTCCCCGAATTGCCCAGGCGGGCCAAATCACGATTTAAATGTCCTCAATATTCTTTGCTATTTGAACATTTTGTGGACCACGAACTTCAAGTTTGTTTTTTTGTTAAAGATGGGTGGAAGCCATGCACATTTCTGTGAAATTCGGATGAAATTGGGCCCTTAAATTGCTCTACATGTATTTTGCAATGGAACGCAGGCATAATTTTTCAAAATGGCAATGGCTACATGACTACTTTTAGGGGTGATCATCTTTGGATGAAGTTTTCTCCCAAAAGTCACTGGATAACCACCCAAAAATTGAACAGAAAATTAAAGATGTTGAAATAAGCTTTAATTTGATGGGTGTCTCAAACACCTTGGGGAGTTGTGAGTATTTTAAGTAGTTTTTTTGGAAGTACGCGTAATAATCACTGAGGTATATTTGAGTCGATTTATATAATAGGGCAACAGGCCTGTACCCATGCATGGTCAGGCCAAAATACGGACAGCTAGCTCCAGCGATAACGGAAGGAAAAATGGTGGGGGGGGGCGACAATTTCCTTCACACCCTCAGCTGCGGGGCTGTGATCAAAGTTCCCGCCCTTTGATCTTACTCGCTGTCTGACCTTATTCCACACCGACCACGATCAGAACATCACACATCTCGCACGGCAGACATCCTTGCAACCTATCCGTTCTGTATATGCATTTCCAACTCGGGTGTGGGGTTATCGATATTTGTTAACCCTAACCAGACGAAGAAATGACACCTGCACCACCTGCTTTGGCCGAATTAGTTAAATTGCAATCTCCCAGATTTTTTTTTTTTGTACTGACAAAAATATCTGCCGCAATCCAATACTTGTACAATTCAATACTTGTACAAGTTTATCACCATTTTGTAGTCTCGTATCGGGGCGCTGTAGCCGGCTTTGATTTCATGATAAGGTCAGTGCATTGGACCACGGCTAACACTGGTAACAGACGACTGAACGGAGAATAAAACAAAGACACAAAACTCGAATCAAAGTTAAAATTACATTTTAGGTGGAGCGATTTTATGATAACCAGTAATGGTTAATAAATTATAACCAATAGTAGTCATTTAAAAGCACAAGGGACACCCAAAAAAGCGAGAAAATGTCAGGAAAAGCCTAAAGGCTTGTGGTCGGAAATACCCAAGGTTTAACACGACCGCTAAAAACCCCTCGAGATATTAAACTCAACAAGGAAAGAGCAAAGAAGAACGCAGAAAAAAAACAACACAAGAAAATTCAAGACAGTATGATTTTCATTCTGTCTGCGTCGGTGTGAATGGATTTTAATGCAAGATTTCTTTCCTTCACTCAGTTCAAAACATGATGTATTGCGAGAGCTCGAGGCAAAGTAGGCCTACAGAGAAATTTAACTGGACAGGAATTATTCTTATAACGGAGAATTTCCCCCAAATTTCGAAACTTTCATGACCCTTTCCCCCCATTTTACCTTGTCCTCGGCCCCACGAATGTTGGTACACTTATATTTTGGACCACGAGCATTCGATCTAGCCTATTTGCGAGCATACAATGTTGCCTCTAAATACGAGTTGTGACATTAGGGAGACATTGAAATGTCTCCTTAATCTACCTCTCCCTATTAACGTATGGCGACAAAATGTCTCCTTAGGGATACATTTACATGAATTATTCCAACCGTAATATCGAAAAAGTAATTATTATTGAAAATTCTGAATGTAGTCCGCATTGTCATTTCTTCTCATTCGGACTGCAGATATTGACGAAAGAACAAATTCGTGCAGTTGAAATCTTTGGCATAAATTTTAAGCGCATATTAATATCGTATTATTATCTTGTTGCGGGAGAAACGGTCACTGCACTAAATTCTCTCCTTATCACGACCACTGCTGACAATCTAACCCAGATTGTTTTTAACTATTGAACACCCATCGGCTAAATCAACACATCGAGGTCTGATTCACAAATATTGAAAAGTAAATCGCTGGCAGATAATAAATCGCAAACCTAATCCATTGTGTAAATTCGGAACAGTATACTTAATAGCGCCGGGCAAGGTTCTATAGAGATAATGCAGTGTGCAGTAGCCGTTTATAAAAAAAACACACCCCAAAAAACAAAAACAAACATTTCATTTATATCTCGTTCGTGCATTGCTGATTGTACATGCTGCGTATAACCCTGTAAACAGATTGCACATGATATACAAACGACCCACATGCTTAATGGCACTGCATGTAATTAAATATTTAGAACGGAAACGCTCCCGTAATCTTTGATGAAGATCACCGCAATTATTAATTGCATCGCGAATGCCCCCAAGTTGATCTCCAGCGGCCGAAATTTGAAGGAGAAATTCTCTTTGTTTCCTCCATTGTCTCCGGTCTTAAAGACATCTTCGTTTTAATGACAATGAAGAACACAAAGCGAGGGTCGTTTTTGACGCTTGACATAAAATACAAATTATTGTGCGCTCTGCTTTGATCAATATTGTCACGTGATTAG